GAAAACAGCGGGTACAAAGGTCCTAGAGAATACAGGGCAGGCATGTGAATTGGTTTATAACCCAGTTCAGCCAGAATGCAGGTTAAACAAAAGAAAAGAGCAGAAAATCAAGTGGGGGAAATAGGTTGAGGATCTTGGCCAGCAGAGTTCTTACATGAGAAAAAATTATTTCTTAAAGCAAGTGTTGTGCTTTTGAGTCTCAAAGACTTTGAACATAGTACAAAAGAGTTTGAACTTTATAATGCACCATCAAGGGTGTTTTAAAAGAAGTGCTGAGTTAATGTGATAGTAGCTGTACCATGTAGGTTGTGTCAGAAGGAGGAAAGATTTTAGTCTGTTAGGGGATTAGTTAGGTGGCCTCAGTAATCTAGGCAGGAATTATGACTAAACCAATGAGAAGGAAAGTGGGGACAAGTATAATAAACATTTCAGAGGTGGGGTTGACAGCTGAATGAGGGGAAAGAGAGGTCCAAGATAAATAAGTTTTAAGCTTATGTGACTGAGAAATCAATGGGTAATATTGATAGAAACAGGGACGATAAGCGGAAAAGTGGGTTTTGAATGATGATGACAGTGTACAGTGTGTAATACATGGTGGGAGGTGTGTGGGTGAGAAGTACATGTTCTACAAGTAGTGATTTTCAAACTATGTATTTTTAATTTTGTTTTTATTGGGGTAGAATAGACATGCAGTAGGTTTTTCACCTTCTAGTGTATAGTTCTAGGAATTTTAACAGGAACACACATTCGTGTAACCAGTACCACAGACAAGATAAGAACAGTTCTGTCCCCCTAAAAATTCCCCATGCTCCTTTGTGGTCAACCCCTTTCCCCCACCTCCTCTCCTTGTAACTACTGATCTTTTTCATAGTAAAACTATTTTAAAGAGTCCTTGGGACCACAGCAAACTCCAGTCTGACGATCAAGAGGGCGGAGTGCCACACCCCAGCCTTTGCCCTGACTTCATCTGGACAAGTTTTACTAATCTGTTTTCTGTGTTGGCATTCTCCTGCACATTTTGGGTGGGGTGGAAAAACTTACATAGCTAGCTATCTGAAAACTGTTATTCTACAGTGCTACTGGTCCTGCTCTGTCTGAGCCACCTTGATCTCCAACCTGGGTTGTTGCAGTAGCCTCGGGGTAGGTTTCCTCGCTTTGACCTTTGCCCCCGACTGTTATAGCAGTCGGCATGATTCCTTTACAATATCGATCAGATCATGTACTCTTCCTTCTCAAAATTGTATAATAATAACAATAAAGGCAAGTCCTGAAAAATGACCAAGAAGGCCCTGAATTCTCTGGGTCCCCTGTTAATTCACCAGCCTACTCTCCTCCTACTCCCCGTGGTGCTTTGATACTGGCCTTCTTTTGTTCTCAAACCGATCAGCCATGTACTGTGCTCATTTTAGGACCTTTGTTTTATCTTTTTTTGTCTTTAAATTAAAATTCACACGACATAAAACTAACCAGGTTAGGGTACATTCCCAATATACACCGTCACATCCATCTAGTTCCAAAACGTCTCCATCACCCTCACATGAGACATGTATCCCTCACGCAATCTCCCATTTTTCTCTCTTTTTCTAGTCTCTTCCCTCCATTGTCCCCACCGCTGGCAACCACTAGCTTGCTTTCTGTTCTGTGGATTTACCTATTTCATGTAAATGAGATCATGCAATACGTGACCTTTTGTGTCTGGCTTCTCTCACGTGTAATGTTTTCAAGTTCATCTACACTGTAGCATGTATCGGTACCTCATTCCTCTCTGTGGCTGGATAATATTCCATTGTGGACATACCATATTTTGTTTATCCATTTCTTCATTCATGAACCTTTGGGTTATTTCCACCTTTTGGCTATTTTGAACGTGCTGCTATGAACATTCATGTAACAAGTACTTGTTTGAATACATGTTTTCATTTCTCTTGGGTATATATCTAGTAGTGGAATTGGTGGGTCATATGGTAACTCTATGTTTAACTTTTTGAGGAACCACCAAACATTTTCCATAGCAGCTGAACCATTTTCCATTCCCACTAGCACGTACCTTGGTTTTTACATCTTTATTTCCTTCCAGTTTTACTCATACTTCACCTTCTCAATGAGATCAGTCCTGACCACCTGATTTAACCCTGTAACCCGCTCCCATCTCTACCCTCATCTCCTTAGCATTCTTCTCCCCCTTACACTACCTGCATGTTTCCCAAAACTTTTTTAGGCACATGCATAATATTTCATTATACTCACTACCTGGTGCACATAGAAACTCCTACTCTTCCCCAAATCATAGGACTTACTCATCTTAACAGTCCACCAGACACCTGTCATTGCAAGAGTATGTGTAGTTATAGAAACAGTAAACTTCATGTATTCCTTAAAACTTGGTGCTCGGAGGTTGAGAACCATGCTTTATCATCTGCTGAATAACAGGGTTACAACTTCATGATTTGGAATTATTTTATTGATTGGGTTTCCTTCAAGGGCTTCTCACAAGTATAGCAAACTTTACAACCTATTCATACTTTAAAAAAGCCAATTGCATTTCCAGCCTAGGGACATGAACCTTTATGGGAAGCTCTATATTGAATGGTAATAGCTTCCTCTTTTGCCAGTAACACAACTGGAGTGTAGGTGATGACTGTCTTCAAGCTGTTTCCTTCGTCTCTCCTCGGTCAGAGAAAGCAAGAGAATGCATCTTAGAGGTGTGTGCATAGCTAACTCCATGGAACACTACGACGAGGTCTCATCTCATGAGCATAAGGCAGTGATGGCGAACCTTTTGAGCTCTGCGTGTCAGCATTTTGAAAAACCCTAACTTAACTCTGGTGCCATGTCACATATAGAAATTTTTTGATATTTGCAACCATAGTAAAACAAAGATTTATATTTTTGATATTATTTTATATATTTAAATGCCATTTAACAAAGAAAAATCAACCAAAAAAAATGAGTTCACGTGTCACCTCTGACACGTGTGTCAGGTTTGCCATCACTGGCATAAGGCATGCAGGCTGGTGTCTCGGCTCCAGCGTCTGCGCGTCCCTGCACCGCCTTCAGATGTGGTTGGAGCAGCAGGAGGAGGATTAGCTTTCACCTTCAGTTTATAACTTCCTTTTAAATAGGTTTCCTGGCATGGATGTCTCTGTTCTTAGAAGCTCAGCACTTGATTTGCTCACTTTCCTTTATATTTTTTTCCATAATGCTTTCTTTTTTTGTTTGTTTGTTTTAACTCAGGCTTAAGAACTAATTGAGATCTCTGTCTTTCCAAAAACAGTCAGTGCTCTTACTGCCAGTCTGCTGAGGCCATGGCTCCACTCAGTAGAGCAGGGTAATGACGTCCAGGAATTACTCGGCAGGAAATTTTTTTTTTTAAGGTTTTGACGTTCTGAAGTCAGAGATAAAAGTTTTGGTTGTGGTGTCTGAGTGTTCTTTCAGTTAAACCCAGATGTCAAAATATGACTTAAAGATGGTTAATATAGTTTATGAAAAGGGCACAGAATCAACAGGAAAGAAAGTTAAGAAAACTCCTTGCATTTTGGAAACAGGGCAAGACCAAGGCCTGATTAATGCCTCCCAGCTTGAAATGCAGCCGCGGCTACAGTCTGCTTTCTGGAAAGCGAGAGAAGATGCAGGAACTGGCGGGCCTACTCCTTCGAGGATGCTTGAATATGTTGTCAAGGTTCCCTACCCCACTCAACAGAGAGGGCACGTCATCAGAAACAGAAGAAACCTGTTTTTATCTTTTTTTTTTTTTAGTTTATTTCATGGTTCCAATACCCTTTTCGTGCGGTTTGAGTACCTAATTCTTTACAACACGGCGTGATAGGGAGGTGATAGGGAGGAGACAGAATTCATCTTTGTTCTCTTTGTTCCCATAGACTCTTCATACATTCTACATGTTGCCGTGTAATAGGTGCCTGTTTCTGATTCTCACACGAGAAAGCTCCCTGCACACACAGGTCACCTGGCACCATACATTTTCCCAGAATGCCCTGTGTGTAGTAGGCCCACACCAAGACAAGAACTAAAAACACCAGAGGCCATGGGAACGGCTATTCAACTATGCAGAGAGGCTCTCCTCTGCCATACCACGAAGCAGCTGAGAAAATCTGTCCTTACAACGCAATAAAATCTCCTTAAACACTCTACTTATGATTCTGGGGAAATTATATGAAAATTGGTGGGCGTTTCTGTTTCTTGTTTTTTGTCTATAGGACACAGACTAAAGTTCTAGTCGCTTGAGTTTGATGAGATGATTTGCAGGAAACATGAAATGGGATGTGCCGTGGCTGTTTTTCTGGAGAGAGCTTTTCTCTCACAGAAGCAGATCTTGGGAAGATTGGTTTCAAGATAGCCGCGTACTAATAGGTAGAAACAGAAATGACTATGGAAACCAGATGTTGTGTCTGGGCCTCGCCTCAGACACGGGGTTGCAGGGCTGGCAGATTTCATTTCTCGCTTGTTTACCCGCACTGATTAAAGGGCCTTTATCTGGTGGTGCGCACAATTGCTGGGCGCCGCGCTCATTTGCATGCTCCCGCCACCATGGTTTCTACACAACATGATATTTCTGTTGGCAATTTAAGTTTATTACTTCAGGAATTGTCAGAGTGGAAATCCAGGATGTGAGCAATATTTATTTTTATTTAAAATTACTGGGGGGATTTGTTAGACAATACCTCGTTTCCTGACATGGGCAAGAGGCTTTACAGAGTTTCCCCCTCATTTTCAGGGACAGATTTGTATGACATGTACATCTCAGCTTGTTATTATTGTAGGATTCTATTTGGTTTAATTTAGAAAATTTCAGGACTCTAAGCTCTTCTCCTTTGAAAATATCCAAAAGGCCTTATTTGTGGTTCTGAGCCTAGACTGGTTAGGTTTGTTTTAGAACATAACCATTTAAGTCAGGGGAAAGGAAGGATTGATGACATAGTTCAGTGGTACCCTGTTTGAACGCTGCGCCGCCTGACTCGCGTTGTGCTTGGTCTTTCCCACAGGTTCACATCCAGCTCTCAGAGTGGCACCGCGCCCTTTTCCTCCCACAGGCCTGGCTGGCATACATGGGCCGAGCGTATCATGCCATCTTACAGGTAAGCAAACATGGGATGGTTTGCTTCAGGGGACCATCTCTTTATCTCAAATTGTACCACAAATATGTGTTAATGTAAAAGCCCTTAGGAAACAGAACTGTCGAACATGCAGTGGTTATATTTGCTGGTAAAGAATGTAAGACATCAATGCCGATTCCCCCCACCCTGTGTCCCGGCCAAAGCTCCCTTCTGGCGCTCCTCCCCCACATCCTGCTGCCTTCTGAGCCTCTCCCAGATGTCCCATCTTCCCCTGCGGATGTCCCAGGGCTCCTCAACTTGAGTGCCCCCCAGTCTGAGCTCACTGTCGGCCTTGCCTCCTCAACAGGACTCGCTGACATCTCCAGCCTCATCTTGTCACCCTTCCTCTAACTGTTGTGTTTCAGCCTTGCTAACGTCTTTCTTTTTCAAACTCTCATGTCTCTCCTGCTCTCTTCTGGTGCAGGTACTACCATGCCCTCTTTGCCCACCTAATTTCTACTTGTTCTTTAGATCATTTTATCTGGGAAGGCACCAGTGTGCCTCCCCCTCACACGCTGGACTGTGTGCTGCTCATATGTGCTTCCTTGGAATCCATGCGTCTCTCTTCCGAGGCCTTTCTCACCTTAGTCATTCGTCTGGGGCCTCCCTCCTGTTGCCTCTGCTCCTTAGGACCATGAGCTCTGCTTTCTTCTCTGTTGTCTCTAGAACCTGACATAGTGTCTAAAATGTAATCAGTGATCCCTAAATAAATGAATTATACTCCATTTGACTTCATTTAATCCAATAATAATATAGGTTATAGTTTGTGGATTTTTAATATTAGAAATAACTTAATCAGTGTGAGAATATATGAACACTTAGCAATATAAGAAAACAACTAGCAATTCTTTTTCTGAGCTTAGAATTCATTTTTAAGGATGATAGAAAAAAAATCTGATGGTACTAAAGTAATTTATGGCCCAAAATTAGATTTTCATAGAGTGTCAGGTGTTATGGTTAAAGGTAAAAGCTATCCTAAATGGTGATGGTGGTGGGTGGTGGTAGTGGTAGTGGTAGTGGTATTGGTGGTGATGGTGATGTGTGTGTGTGTGTGTGTGTGTGTGTGTGTGTGTGTGTACACATGTGTGTAAGGAGAGGTGGGGTGGCAGGAATACCTATGCATCTGAACATTGTTCTCATCTTAAATTAAAACCTTGTTGCAACATATTTTATTGAGTCTAGAATTTATAAAGTACTGATGCATCTTCGGAGATTCCTATTCATTAGAACTGACTATGGGACCAGGAATCTCCATGTTTACCAAACTCTGCGGTGATTTTAACTCAGTCTATCAACCTCACTCTGAGCAAATGTGTTTTAGATGGTGTCCCCCAAACTACACTGGAACCCACATTTTAAAGATGTTCCCTTGGAACAATTGTTTCCTTTTGCTCAGCTTACACACTTTTTTATCCTCAGCTGCATGTAGACACTCAGTTGTGAACAGGTGCATGAGTGAATGACCATTATAGTTTTTATTTGAGATGAGTGAAATTACAAGTCAGTATGCTTTTTCTCACATTTACTTTTCCCCATGCAGTTTCGCAGTATTTTCCTTCACCAAACATTTATGGGGTGCTCTTTACTGGCCGGGCCCTGTGCCGGGGTGTGGGACACGAAGGGGAGTAAAGCACTCCTTCCTCTCAGTGAGCTGCCTGTCCAGTGCTGGAGACGAACATGTACAGGAGCAATTCCAGTACATCTGCGATGCTTTTGTAGAGGATGCACAAAGCACTACAGGGCCTGGAGAAAGCAAGGGGACTCCTCCTCCTGCAGAGTGAACTGCACATTGTATTTAGCTCTTAGCATAAGGAAGTCTAAATTGAATGGGATTATGGTATAACTCATGCAGATGACTTGCAGTTGATTAAAAAACAACTCCATGGTTTTTGTTTTGTTTTTTATAGTAAGAGCTACGATTTGCTGAATGACTAGTGTGTGTCCAATACTTACCATATGTGATTTCAATTAATCTTTACAGAAACCCTTTGAAGAGGGTATTGTCAACCCCACATATAATGGGATTATAAATAGGGTTAGCTAGGAAAGCAAAGCAAATGGTGCAAAACCCAACAGTCACTAAGTGAAAGAGCTGGAATTTAACCGGAATTTTTTTGACTCCAGAACCTCGGCCTTTCCCACTGCGTCATGCATTTTTCCCTAATGCATAATGCTGCACATTAGTTGTAACAACAAATAATGCAAATTGCTTTAAGATTTTAAAGGATACATCTATTTTTGAAAAGCCATCTGAGAATTTTTAGTAATGTAGATCAATTATTCTGCTTTTCTAGTGTTGTGATCATGTTCATCTTTATTTATCACTAGAGGCCCGGTGCACAAAAATTTGTGCACTCGGGGGCGGGGGCACTCTCAGCCCGGCTTGTGCCCTCTCACAGTCTGCGACCCCTCAGGGGATGTCCACCTGCTGGCTTAGGCCCAATCCCCCCAGGGAGCCAGACATCCCTCTGGCATCCCGGGAGCCCTTGGGGGATGTCCGCTTGCCAGCAGGAAGCAGGCCTAAGCTGCAGTCAGACATTTTTAGCGCTGCTGAGAAGGCAGAAGAGGCTCCTGCCACCACCGCTGTGCTGGCAGCCATCAGCCTGGCTTGTGGCTGAGCAGAGCTCCCCCATGTGGGAGTGCACTGACCACCAGGGGGCAGCTCCTGCATTGAGCATCTGCCCCCTGGTGGTCAATGTGTGTCATAGTGACCAGTCATTCCCAGTCGTTCTGCTGTTAGGGTCTATTTGCATATTACCCTTTTATTATATAGGATTTGAATTTTGAACAGATCCAGTTCCTTTGAGAATTGGTGATAAAAGTGGAAAAGTGTCAACTATAATAAGATTGTCAGTGCTATTTGAAGGTGCAACAATATTTTTAGGCTATCTCTATGATTTTAAGGTACACTGGTGCGTTTTAACTATCCAGCAAGTTTTGTAAATGACTCCACACTTAAATAGAATCAATGGTATCTTAGAAGACTTCAAGCAACTGCCAGACTCCTTGTCCACATCAAGAATTTCTTGTCCTGGAGGATACTTCTTCTGCACAGGAGTTATATGTGCGAGACCGACTTTGTAGCATTGAACTAGAGGATCTGTCCGAGGAGCCACATTGTTTTCCATTAAGCCCAGGAGACAGCAAAAGGGTACATTCCACATAATTCCCTGCAGGTTGATTTTGTGGTGAATGAGTTTGAGATCTGAACACCACAAGTGGCTTTTGCTTAGATGTCTGCTTCCAGCCTCCTCTACCTTTTCCATAAGATGTGGGATTTGAAAAGATAAGCATATCTAAGTGAGTGCTTGACGCAGGGAGGAATTTGGATTTCTTCTCATTAAGACGGAAACTGCAGATACAAGTTGATTGACAGCTCAGAGTCCATTTTGATAAGGCGCCTTTTACAAACGTCTTTACCTCGCTGCCCTAGTGGGATGCTGAGGAAGTTAAGGGCTCCAGCTTTTGTGTAAAGGACTCCTACGCATTTTGAATCTGACCTCAAACAAGAGAGAGGAATTCAGGCAGGCTGACTGTAGACATATCTCCTGAGCCAGTCCGCTCGCTCAAAATAATCTGAAATCAAACCAGGGTCAGGAACTGTGCCCCTGGTAAATTACTCTCTGGCCGTTGTAAGGGTTGTTTGTTTGTTTGTTTTAATGTGTAGGTTTGGAGCCAGGTGAAATTGCTCACTGTAATCAGCAAGCTCTTGGTTACATAGGCTGGAGATTTTTTTATTTTTTTTTTAAGTAGGAGGGATCAATAGCTTAATAATTGGAATCTCCAGGCAATCCAGAACTCTCAGTTCAGGAGACCATTTCAGCCTTTTTGTCCCAGGCATGCTTTCCAGCCTTCACCACAGCTGTTAGCCAGAAGCAGAGGCGACTGAGCTGAATGCCACTGGGTCTGTTAGCAGCAGGCAGAGAACTGGAAGGCAAAGTACATCTGGATAAACAGCCTGACATGGACCGGGTAGAAGGGGTTAGAGACATTCCAGAGAGGGGATTGAGAAGGACAGAGACTCTGAGGAGGAAGAAAGAGACGAGGTCACAATGGAATGGCTGTGCTAGTTTATGGCCACGGGAGAGATTAGAAAAACGGGCCTTCTCAAGAGGCTGCGTGTGTACTTGCTTTTTTTTGTTTTGTTTATCTCCAAACAGATTTTAGCCTTTTGATTGCCTATTGTCTTTTTTGGGGGAAAGCATTATGGAAAGTACGTGTTTTAGGAAGAAAGAGGCATAATTTAAGGAGCATGACAAAGACGAGCAATAACATGTATTTTCTATTTTGCCTACCTTCCTAGGAGGCCATTATCAACATTAAATATTAATATCAATGTCTTGCCAGCTTGGTCACCTTTGATTCCTTGCTCTAAGAGAAAGAGGGGAGAAGGAAAGGGCCAGGGTTCTGTCTGTGAACACAGGGAGGAAGGCATGGGTGCCTGAGCGGGGAGCCCCAGGGCACTGTGGCTGGAGGTGCTGCTGTGAACAGGACTCCTTACACTGCTGAAACAGGCCTTGCTTTCCATGAGCTCACAGGCTAGTAACTGAGAGGACTGGAGAGAAATCTAAGGGCATGCAACTGTATAGCCTGGCTATTACATTTTGGAGAACCTTTTACTCTATGAGAATATACAGATGACAATATGAATTATTTTACAAAGGATTTCGAGATATTCGTGAAAGAATGATTTGTAAGAAGATTATAAGGGGAAGTAGGGTATTTTTTTTTTTTGACAGCAAACCTGGTAATGGTAGCTATTATCTGTTATCAGGCACTGTATTAGACAGTTTTCCACATTATTTAATATGATGCTCTAATACCATGAGATAGTTGTTAGCTACATTTTACAAATGAGGAAACTGAAGCTTAGAGAAGTGAAATAACTTACCCAATTATATACCTCAAGTAAGTGGAAATGGCATTAGATTCTGATTCCAGAGCTCACATTCTTTTTTTTTTTTTTTAAATATATTTTATTGATTTTTTTTTACAGAGAGGAAGGGAGAGAGAGAGAGAGTTAGAAACATCAATGAGAGAGAAACATCGACCAGCTGCCTCCTGCACATCTCCCACTGGGGATGTGCCCGCAACCCAGGTACATGCCCTTGACCGGAATCGAACCTGGGACCCTTCAGTCCGCAGGCCGACGCTCTATCCACTGAGCCAAACCGGTTTCGGCTAGAGCTCACATTCTTAACAAACTATATTGCTTCCCTCTCTAGGGCAGCGGTCACCAACTGGTGGTCCACGGACTACTAGTGGTCCATGAGGTCCGAAAGGTTGGCAACTGCTGGTTTAAGGAAACCTTTGGAGCAGTGGTCACCAACCAGTGGTTGACGACCGCTGCTCTATGGTATATATAACTACTCTAGGGTGTATATAGAGACAAATACTTTTCTTCTGTAGGACATACCTTAGAACCCTACAATCAATAATAGTAAGACAACCAATAGAAAAATGGAAAGAATAGGAAACCCAAATAGTCAATAAACATTTGAAAAGGTGCACACTCTCATCAGTGAACAATGAAATGAAAAGGAAAACTATAATGAGCACCATTTCACTTCCGCAAGAAGGGTCCAAGTAAAAGGCCTGACAATTCCCAGTGTCGGTGAGGATGGGAATTACTGGACCTCCTACTTACTGCTGGTGAGATGTAAGCGGCACAGCTACTTCTGAAAATGGTGTGGTATTTCCCAGTAATACAATCTGCAGTCTAAGTTCTTGTCCAATGTAGGGCTCATCAATAAACCAATTACACTTAAATAATGTAACTGGTGATGGAATAGAGGGGAAAGCATCTGATCAAAATCATTTTGAGTACAAAAAGAGGAGAATAGCCCTGGCTGGTTTGGCTCAGTGGTGGAGCATTGACCCAAGGGCTAAAGGGTCCTGGGTTCAATTCCGGTCAAGGGCACATACCAATGGATGTGTCTCTCTCATCAATGTTTCTCTCTGTCTCTCCCCCTCCCACTCTCTCTAAAAGTCAATGGAAAAGTATTCTTGGGTAAGGATTAACAAACAAAAAAGAGGATAATAAATATTTGAAGGTCTTGGTTTTAAAGGCATAGTATTAGCTATATTTTTATTACATGTTAGAAGTTGAGAAGTATATCTATTTTTAGCCCTAGCTGGTTTGGCTCAGTGGATAGAGCGTTGGCCTGTGGACTAAAGGGTCCTGGGTTTGATTCCAGTCAAGGGCACATGCCTGGGTTGCAGGATCGATCCCCAGTGTGGGGCGTGCAGGAGGCAGCTGATAATTATTCTCTCTCATCATTGATGTTTCTCTCTCTCCCTTTCCCTTCCTCTCTGAAATCAGTAAAAAATTATATTAACAAAACAAAACAAAAAATATTTGTTTTTATATGTTCACTCAAGAAATAGAAATGTTAAGCTGTTTGAAAATAACCTTTGCTATATGTTACCTGAATTTAAATGTTATATACCCTCCGACTCATATTCTGCCATTCTGTTATGATACTGGTACCCAGACCCCAATCTTCGGATAATGTTAGTTAAAATTATTAGCTGTTGATATAAGCTGATTATTACTATAGGAGGTGTTTTTGAATGGCACCTATGAGATTAAACTCTGCTTTTAATAAATATCCCAAAATGAAGCACTCTGCACTAAATTTGCCAAACACAACTTCCCGAGGATATATTTATTTGGTGAATGTAGAAATATCTGAGCAGTGATGTAATTATCTCTGTCACACGTCCTCGTTCATAATTTACTAACCCATCAGGAACACTTAAGGTGAACTGGCAAAGGATATGTCTGCCATCTTTAAGTGTTTTTCATAGAAATTTTAAGGTAATTTTGGCCATCAAGTTAGCATGCTGATTCATGCTGTTTTGCAGGGAAGGATAGCGGAGCTGGAGCTGCAGTTAAAACATGGAAAGGAGAGCGCTGAGGAGGTGCAGATCAAAAAAGGCACAGCCTGGCTCTGGTAAGAGGGGTTCCATAACGTCACAGGAAGTGAACTGTGGGAAGGCGACTACTTTAAAGGCTTTAATGTTGGGGCTTTTAACTTCTGTATGAGCCTGAAGGGGGAAGGACTGAAGATCTGGTAACTGTATTTTTTCATCTCCTCACATATAAGGAGGAGAGCTTTATTCATAAATTGAATGTTTTTTATTGTTTTCTAAAGCAGCGTGGAAATGGTTTGCTTTTCCATTTTCCCCTTAGAACGGATTATTTTTTTGAATAAAAATTTCTGTTTTTCTCCACTTAATTCATTGCCCTTCTAGCTCACATTTGGTCAAGAAATACCTTTTCACTCACCTGCTCCTCCCTCTCCAGACAGCTTCATTATCAGGAGCAACTTTAACAGACACCCCCCTAGTGAATTCCCACTATGTTATCTAGAAATGTGTACATGCTGGCACATTAAAGGCAATTTAAATTGTTACATGGGTTGGGATAAATACCGTGTCAGATTAATGTTGCAGCAGCCTAAATCTAAATGCCCAGAATCTAAATAGCTTTGCCTGTAGCCACAGGTTTCTTTAATCCAAAAATCTGTTCAAAGGTTACTGAATTTTAGATTTTTATTTACTGACAATTGGCATGTGTAGAAAAGCAGAAGCTGAGTGTGTGTGTGTGTGTGTGTGTGTGTGTGTGTGACTAAATCTATTCTGTTTCATTTTCTAGATTTATTTTAGAAAACAGCAAAGCAGTTTAAAATGTATGACATTGGATTTATGGCTAGAGATTAAGAATTTGGATTTCGCTTTCTAATTGGTATTATCTTTCACATGTAGTTTTAATTTCATCTTCTGAAAATAAGCATTTGGTGCAGGTGGTATATTGGCTACACTTTTCAAAATAGAGAAAGAGATATGTGGCATGAAGAATGTGAGAAAACGATGGATGTCAAGATAACTACAATATTCTAACTCTGAATAACTAAAAGTATGGAGTTCCCATCTACTAAGACGAGGAAGACAATAGAAAAGCAGGTCTATGTACAGAGGATTCAGGTTTGGGACTTGCTAAGCCAGAGCTACCAGCTGGGGATGTCAAGTAGGTTGTTGACCATGAGTCTAGAGTTCAGGGTAACGCCAGGGCTGGAGTACAGACTTGGGAATTATCAGTATATCATTCACCTAGGGAGTAACTGAGGACAGAAAGTCAGAGGACTGAGCCCAGAGCACTTCCACATTTAGAACTGGAGAAGGTAGAGGAGGAACTAATAAAGCAAACGGAAAATTAGTGACCAGTGATGTAGGAAGAAAACCAAGAGCTCATGGGCTCTTAAAAGCCAAGGGCAGAAAGTGTTTCTCGAAAGGAGCAACCAGTTGGGTCAAGTGCTGCTGTGAGTTGGCCAAAGATGGAGACCGAGAGCTGGCAATCAATTCTGGCCCCTTGAAAGTCATTGGTGGCCATGCCAGCGGCTGCCCTGGTGGAGTCGTGGGGACAAAGTCAGACTATAGAAGGGCCAGAGAGAGTGGAAGGAGATGAACTTGAGTCAAGTACACACTATTTTATGTGAGTCCTGATGAATGAGAAGCAGAAAAATGGGACAGTGGTTGGAGGGCTTGTTCTTATTTTAAGATGATAGATATTTCAGTGTGTTCTCATGCTAAGGCAAGTAAAAGAAATAGGAAAGAAAAAATTGGTGATGCGGCAGAGAGAAGAGATGGGAAAAAGGAAGGAACTGGTCCACTTGTGGAAGGTTTGGCCCTACATGGAAGCAAGTATAAGCAAGTTATCATTTGTAAATATTCCACATTGACCAATAAAAGAATACATTAACTATACTATTCTCCATCTGGCCATACTGAGATTGGACAATTTAGAGAATTTATTGTCAAATGATTTTATAAAATACAAGTTAAAGATGTATAGGAGCAGTTTGCAACTAACTGAAAAACTTGGCTCTTAAAAATTACATTCTCAGTGCTGAATAGCTAAGATTTTATTAGATTTCAAATGAAAATATTTATGAATACAAATATAACTTATATTTGCAAAAGTCATAATATTTATAAAAACTTTGAATTGCTGAAACTCAATGAAAATGTCTGTATCCTGTTCAGAATGTGAATTTGGCAGTCAGTGGTTGTTTTTCATTTTATCTCAAGGCTCTTCTACTGACATTTTTAAAAATCCTCTGACTATTTGAATTGAGCATACCTTCCTTCATATTCACAAGTGTAATTATTTTGTTTTAGCTTCAGAGTGATTTTATAACCTACTAGAGGCCCAGTGCACATAATTCGTGCACGGGGGGGGGGAGAGGTCCCTCAGCCCAGCTTGCCCCCTCTCCAATCTGGTACCCCTCGAGGATGTCCGACTGCCCATTTAGGTGGGATCGGGCCTAAATGGGCAGTCAGACATCCCTCTCACAATCCAGGACCGCTGGATCCCAACCACTCACCTACCTGCCAGCCTGATCACACCCTAACCACTCCCCTGCCAGCCCGATCGCCCCCAAATGCCCTTCCCTGCCAGCCTGGGTTGCCCCTAACTGCCCTCCCCTGCCAGCCTGGTCGTCCCCAACTGCCCTCTCCTGCTGGCCCAGTCACCCCTAACTGCCCTCCCTTGCCAACCTGGTTGTCCCTAACTGCCCTCCCCTGCTGGCCATCTTGGGGCAGCCATCTTGTGTGTTGGAGTGATGGTCAATTTGCGTATTCCTCTTTTATTAGATAGGATGCTTTTAGTTTTATTGCATATACATGCAAGTAACTATTATTTACAAGTTGGAACTAGTAAAATTGCTGTTTTGGTGAACTCCTATGCAAAAAAGGCAAATGCCTTAGTCAGTCTGGGCTGCAGTAACAAAAATACCAGAGCCGGTGTGGCTTAACCAACAGAAATGTGTCTCTCGCCATTTTGGAGGCTAGAAGTCCAAGTAAAGGTGCTGGGGGGTCTGGTGCTCGTGAGGGCCTCCTTCCTGGTTCGCAGATGGCCACCTTTGTGTGTTCACATGGGGAAGAGGGGAAATAGATGTGGAAGAAGGGGCAGAGAGTGGGGAGATGAAGGGGAGGGAGAGGGAGAGGGAGAGAGAGAGAGAGAGAGAGAGAGACTTTTTATAAGGACACTCACTAATGCCATTTCTGAGGACTCCACCCTCAGCACCTCCCAGAGGCCTCACCTCCAAATACCACACATCAGGAGCTCAGGTTTCAACATATGAATCTGGGGTGCGGGGGACAGGCATTCAGACAATAGCAGAGAATAATATGAAGGACACACCTACTCTCCAACCAGTTTAAGAGAGGACACCATCACAACCCTATTCCTCCTTAGCTACAACCGCCGCCGTCTCCTTCCATAGTGACCTAAGGAGAAGGAAGATGAAACTCTCTTTGAAGTAAAGCCCTTACTACCGTTCTGTCACCTTACACTGAAATTCCTCAAGTACCATCTTTAGCTCTGGAATCCTTTCTAGAGGTTCTTAATAATTGATGAAGAAGCAAAAAGATTGAGTTCTTGCTCTAACATAAATGAAACGGATTTTCTTTGCATCGTCATTGCAGGGTCCGAGACATGTTGACGGATGAGATCACCAAGTCAGCTGCAAAGTAAGAGCCCCTTATTCTCTTTGCCACAAATATTCTATAAACGTGTGTGGTGTGTGTGGTTTTTTTTTTCCTGCAAGGTACATACAATTTCTCCTTTTAGGGTATTTCATAGCTTTAAGAATTTTAAAGGAGTTTTCAATTATATTTTTAAAAATCAGTCATCCTTTCTCATGTTAAGTTAATTCTTACTGTGTGTCTCTTCGTGAAAATACAGAGGAATCAGTACAAACACATACTTTTACAAGAGGCTACTGAGGTTGTACAGGTATGAAAGGGCCCCGGGCTGACTTCGGTTCTTAAAATTCTAATTTAGTTTGGGTGAAGGAGATGGGTGGGGAATCCTTGCTAATGTGAATTAATAAATAGATTATTCAGTCTCAGCTGTGAGCCAGCAAATAAATCAAAATAGTACTTCCTTTTATTCCCTTTGTGTTATTGGGTGCAGGGTATCTACACACTGAATTTTTCAATACTAGAAACTAATGCAAAAATCCAGTAAAAAAAAAAAAAAGATGGTTTCACTCATATCCTTGGTTTGTTTTAACAAAAATAACTCAAGTATTATTATCTTGAGGCTTTTTATCTTAAGCCAACCCTCATGAACTTGCTTAAGCAATCTCCTCAGTTTCCTTTGTTAACAAGCTGACTAATTGTTTCTGGCAGTAAGTTACACTCAGTTACTACGCTTCTCCCTTCCACCATCACCCTCAGCTGCTGACACTCCCTGACATCCTTTCTTCTTATTCACCAAACAACACAGATAGACCTTTGACCTAGAGGATTTCATGTGCACTGAAAGTCCATTATCCAGAAATATTTCATTGCAGAATAGTTTATCCCTATCATGTCCCAACGCCCTCTGTAGCTAAACAGATTCTGCCTTAACAAAACCAACACACACACGATGTGCCTTAGAGTTAGCCTTCCACCAGCCATTTCTGAGACAGGACTAACTGTGAAGGCCGACCCTGGCACATGAACGCCTCAGCCTCGTGTCTCCTGAGTGAAGGCAAAGAGCAGTGGTGACCCTCCTCTGCGCTCAGTTTGGTGGGAGTTGGGGGACTCTCTAAGGACAAAACTGTGGACAAAATGAAAACTGAAGTTAGAGAGGCTTCTGCAGGGAGTCATTTGTGTCTGCTCACCTGCTTTGGTGACTTGCAGGCCCCGTGGGAGAGCACCAGCTGCAGACTGGAAGGGCGGGGTGCCGGGAGGGGGCTGCCTTTGGCCTGAGCTCTGGTAGTTTGTTCTATTGGCCTATTTATATCTTTATAGCCTATTAAAAAATGGTGCTCTGACATTGGCAGCAAACAGTGCTGAAGGAACTAGCATCTTTCTATTAAAACAAACTACAATTTTGCCTCTCCAGTAGCGTTTACATTTTCCATTCTAAAATTCTTCAACAAGACTGTAATCTTCAGCTTTCCAGAGCATTGTTTCATGACTAATACTTCAGAAGAGTGTGTTGCCATTCTCAGAGGTGCAGAGTAAAAGGAATTCATGTTTTCATGGTGTTGACTTTTCATCAAAAATTTCAAAGCATTTTATAGGCCTTATCTTATTAAAGCAATCCATGACGGCAAGTGAATAGGAGACAGTTAAGGTCTAGGGGCAAAGGGATTAGTGATGAGCAGAGGGAGCAGTCTGCCTCCCTCCCTTTGCTTTCCCCACTGGCTTCCTCCAACCCTGTGAGGACCCCACCACCACCCCCTGCCAGCTAAGCCTTCTGCTCCTTGGACCACAGCTGCCACAAGCCAGCGTAAGACTTATTTTGATCTGAGCCATAAGTTAAAAGCAGGAAGTAAAACATCACCAGATTAGGCTGATATACTCATTTGAGAGCATTTATTTCTAAAGCATCAGGGTTAGGGCTGAAAGAGAATCATAGCACAGATACAACCTGATGATTGATGTGTGTTTATTTTGACCGTTATTAATTAAATAGATTTGAACCTGAAGATAAAAATCCCCGAGGGACGGGGTCACTTTACTGATATGTAACGTAATACTGGGTCCCTGAGAAAGCATCATCGCAGCTCATCCTTCCTTGCACGTTTTAATTAGGTTAATGGCATCAGTTTGTTGCAAAGGACAATTTAATTAAAATGTCAGCGGTGCTGCCTAGATAAATACTGTACTGATGCTGACATGTCATTATGCAAATTACTGCTGCTTGACTGTAGGGGACAGTTATTTGATCAACAAGGTGATGAGTTTTTGCTGAACCAGTTGTAGATTTTCACCTGGCCAGCTCCTCCGTGAATTTGCTTCACTAAATATGCGTCGAGTGTCTTCTCTCCGTCGCTCACTGCGCTAGGCATGAAGGGAATACATAGGTGGTCAAGAGAGAGTCGTGATACCTGTGTGAAATGTAGGGCTTGGCCTAAGCAGCACTGTGCAGCTGTGGGCTAGTTTTTTTTTTTTAATTCAAAGATTAATGTCCAAATTTGCATTTAATCTGTAACCGAAGGTCTAATTAGCAGTGGCTTTAAATATGTTTTTCTCCATTTTACAAGAAACGATACATGCTCAGGAATGTCAAGAGCAGTGAAACTTTTGAAATAAAATCATGTTGGAGCACTGTTTTAAAACCGAGGCTAAATTCTCTTTCAGAATTGCAGTGTTAAACAGACACTTTTTTTTTGCTCTGGCCAGTGTGGCTCAGTTAGTTGAACATCATCCCATGCACCACAAGGTTCAGGATCGATTCCCATTCAGGACACATGCCCAGGTTTCAGACTCCATCCCCAGTAGGGGGTGTGCAGGAGGCAGCTGATCCATGTTTCTCACATCGATGTTTCTCTCTCCCTCTCCTTTCCTCTCTCTATAAAAAATCAATTTTTAAAAAAAGGAAAAAAGATACTTTTATGTTATCTTGTATGCTATTCTTGTTTTAAAAGATGTGGTACCCGATTTCTGGTGACCACCAAAGTTTTTCTACAGGGTGAAAAAACCTGGCGAACTAATTCTCAGACCACTGAGAATTTTTAAAGGACTTTTTACCTAACTTTAGTAATTTATGACTATTTTGTAACAAGATGGGCTTCAGGATAGTCTCAGCTAAAAGAAAGAGCTAGTAAAGTAAGAGATTTAATTTGGATTTTGTTAAATGATTTCTTGGCTAGGGCACCTAGGAATGCCCAGATCTTGCCTCGCTTCTTGTGATATTATTAGCTGTATGAGTTCCCAATAATCCTGACTGCAGAACTCTAGCAAAACCTCGCGCAAAGCTATCTGTCTGGATCACAAGTCTTCCTATTTTCTCCTCCACACCAACCCCCAGCGTAAATGTCGGTGTCTTATCAACTTAAGGCAGGTCTCATAGAGGAATGAATCAAGGAGAACAAATTGGTGAGCAAAATGACCAAGTGTGCAGAAGCAAGTCTTCACTGAGCTTACCCACCCCGAGGTGGGAGGGAGGGGAGGAAGGCGGGGATGGATGAATAGATACATGGAATAACCTGACTATGGCACATCCTGAGTCCCATTCTTACCAAATGGAAACAAAAACGCAAGAACACATGTATACTAATTTTTTAATACTCACTAGCTCACATGTTCAGTCAGGTCTCTGTCTTCTTTATCCCACATATCCACCTATCCCAACACTAGGTAAGCAGGGAAGGGTTCTGGGATGTGTACGCTGATTCAAGTTCAGGTGTGAAGTCCAGGTTTGGGGACACATTCCCTGTATGTGTGGGAACCCACAATCGTAGGGCTGGCTGAGAACCGGACTCTGGCGGCCGGGTGCTCTGCTGCCTGTGCTCTGTCATGAGAGTTGGCAGCCAAGGGCATCTCCTCCGTGTCCCACCTGCGGTCACTCTACAGGGTCACCTGGGAAGGATGGAGTAATACGAACTGTGTACTTTCAGGTGGTGGGAGTGTTAACAAGGCTCAGTTTCTTGATATTAAATTCAGAAGTCAAATTTAAGATTTTGCTAATATTAGAAAACTATCATTTGGATAAAAGGAAGGGCAACTCTCAATCCTCATAGTCTAAAAGCGGGTCTTTTTTGCATCTTATCTAGAGCCTCAGTTATATAGCAATCTGGCTTTGAGGTCACTGGCTTCGATGGATTCCGAGAAAGAAGGGGGATAATAATGACTGAGGGAAGCTGCCGGTGGGCCGGGCTGCTGGGAAGGTGTGCTGTCTGGCTCCACACACCGGTGCTCAGGAGCCAGACGCCACCTCGCTCTGCCGGGCTCATTCACACAACTGCCCTGGTCTGTTTTCAGAACACTTTGATGCTTTTATATTGGCCGAAGGTGACAGAAGACGATCACTTAGGAAATGTAACGTCAAATGACGGAATAAACATTTTAGGAAGAAGTTAGGTATGATGAGCTTGGATTTTTTTTTTTTTGTTGTTAATCCACATTCAATGATATTTTTCCATTGATTTTTAGAGAGAGTGGAAGGGAAAGAAAGAGACAGAGAGAGAAACATCGATGTGAGAGAGGCACTTCCATTGGTTGCCTCCCGCATGCACCCCTGCTAGGGCCTGCAACCAAGGTACATGCCCTTGACCAGAATTAAACCCAGGACCCTTCATTCCAAGGCCAATGCTCTATCCACAGCCAAACCGGCTAGGGCGAGCTTGGATTTTTAAGTTACAAAAAAGTATAATGACCGCACATCTATAAGAAGAGTTGCAAATCAGCACCGGTGTCAGGAGCGGGGAGGCTGCTGGCATCGGGAACAAGCAGACCTGCTTACGAGGCTCCGTGAAGGAGTGGAGTGCTTTCTGCCCTCGTCTGCCCTCCCTATAATAGCACCTTCTCTTCTCCCGGCTAATGCCCCCAAATCCTCTCTTGGAATGTTTTTCTTCTTAAACAGGGAGAGCCCGGTGGTGAAAGGCAACGCACTGTTAGCCTTAAGCAGCCTTGCTGTCGTCGTATCCAAACATGAAGCCAGCCTCTCCTCGGACAGCGAGGGCGCCCTGGAGGTGAGTCGGGGTGATCTGAACCGTGGGCTCCGCTGTGTAACCGCTGAAAAGGGAGATGTCTCTGGAAGCCGGCTCTGAGTTCACGAGATTAGAGTCAGTCTGGGCCACCACGTCCTTCCAGCTGACGGGCCTTTACACTGGGAGCTCTAGTGCCTCTAAAACGCTTTTCTTCGAAGCTTTCTGTTTTGCTTCCTCCCTCCCAGATAAGTGGTCATTTCAGTGTGAAGGGAGCAATTTCATGCAACAGGGCTTGTCTTTTTGTGATGACATCAGTGGTAGCCAGTCCTAGGAGGTTAACTAGGCTTACTGAAAGTGAACAGTGCTGTCAAAAAATGATAAATAAGCAGTGTTTACTGACTGAAAAAAAATTATACTTTTGCATTTTAATTGTAGATGTCAATGGCAAAGTGCCTATTCATTTTTGCAAGGCGTTTATTTCTTAATTAAACGTGGTGAGCTGGTCAGTCTTCATTTCCAATGTACTTTTTCAGAAAATTTATATCTGTCAAAATAAAAAGGCACGGGTGTCTTCTTCCCACAAGCCCTATTATCTAGGAGCCATCAGTATCTGGAAACAACCTAGCCAAGGGGTTAAAAACGGCCTTTGGCGTAGGAGAGCCCGTCATTTAAATCCTAATACTTGTGCTTACTGGCTCTGTGGTGTGCCCTTGCTGACGTCCCTTTTCGGGGCCTATTTCACCATCTATAAGATGGGGATAACGATACTAATCAGGTAGGATTATTGAAGGATTACATGAATGAATATACAAAAATCACAATGCCTGGTAGATACTAACCTCTCAGTAACAGTCCTCATTCACATTAGCATAGACTGCATCACTTCTTGCTGCAAAAACAGAGTTTATTCAGTGTTATTCAGCCTGTGTCTGTCCCCACAGAATGTCTTATGGGCCATCTATACCGTTTTTCAATAAGTGCTCCGAGAGGCTACACAACTTTCCTGAGGTGACACAGCAATTGGCATTACCAGGATTTGAACCCAGGCAGTCTGGCTCCTGAGCCTGTTATTAACTGCTAAGCCAGCCTGTACAGTTGTACTGTTTTGTTTTGTTCTCATGGTGGGGTGTTTTGGTTGCAAGCAAAGAAAATGGCTCTCATTTAAAAGAGGAACTAGATAAGGAATCTGGAAGCCAATGGGATTGAAGGCAGAGCTGAAAAATCAGGTTTTGGGAAGAACAGTAACCAAGGCAACCTGGGGAGTCCAGGCACAGGTACTGATGAGCCATCACAGGAGAACCCCCACTGGGATGGATAATCTAGTCATTTGCTGCCTTTGCATCCCTCACTGAAGATTGAGAGTCCCCTGGGTCCCCAGCCTTCACTTGGGTAGGGTAGGACAGGTAGCTAGATTGAGCATTTAATCAAGCTTCTAATCATGGAGGAGGGAATTTCCCAAAGGGTGCTATTACCAGTAAACAAGACAGTAGGTGCCGTGTGGCAAAAGCTACCAATGTGTGTTACAGGTGAGAGAGGGAAACAGGTCAAGGGGTTATTGTATGAAAGATAAAAAGCAAGTGTAATTACTTACTATATGAAAATTTAACTTTAAACCCAGAATCTTATTTTAATGATGAGTAAGTTGAATTTTTAAAGAGAGGAAACGTTTCATATCCTTTAAAAAGAGCCATGCAGTTGTACTCGTAATTTACCCCAGTAGTAAGGGCGGGCGGGGGGGTAGCTCAGAGTTTGAATGCCAGGCCCTCTTATTCTTCTTAATTCCCCCCCCCCCCCGGCACCTTTGGTTCTGCACTGTAACACATAACGCACAAAACATCGAGAGGCCACACAACCCAGAGGTGGGGCTTTGCTTTTGTTCTTGATAACCTTGACTTTGGCTATTACTCAGTACACACCCAAGACCTCATTATTTGATTAAAGTTGAAGTTTTCAAACTTCATCTAAGTCTGCATAGTACCAATAGCTAAAGAGCTTAAGAATGTAGTCTTATTTGATTCAAGGAATTAATTCCAAGGAGATATTTAACACTGCATTGACCTTTATAGTTTACATGACCTGAATATACCATGGGAGTTAATGAATACTTTTGACATCCAGGGTCATGAATGATTTTTAAAGCCAAGTTCTCTTTTTAATGAGTTGAGTTTTGTTGTTGTCTTGTTTTGGGTTTTTTTTTTTACAATTCTCTTTCCTTTTCCAAACTGAAAATCAATTATGTTTTTATGACTGAGTAGCTAGGAAAATGATGTTTCTTGAATGATAAATATATGGTGAGAGCAGAAATGCTAGTGATGGTGATCAGAATCACGTAAGCTGCTTTATTGCCTCCTCCGTGAAATGACAAGTCATAGAATTGAGAAATTTTGAGTTGCTTTCTCTGCACATCTCTCCCTTGAACCTCCACATTATCCTCACTGAACCTGGGCGGGCTCTGGGGCGCTCTCGGATACGCTCTGTTTTGCAGCCCCCATCCTCTCACTTCTGTTAAGTCCTGTGTAAAAGACCAGTATTCCTGGTGGGGCACAGGTGAGCATGTGTGCTTGTCAGATACCTGCTCACCTCCTTCAGTCCTGGCAGGTGAAGTTGACTTTTTGATAACAGCATGCCATTCTTTAATACAGAAGGGGGCTATACCCTGAACCTAGAAATCATGTTAGGTTATCGTTCCATGTGTTTCTTCATCTGCAGGTTCAACCGAATTTCCTTTCCATGAAAGACTGGGTTTCCATGGTGTTTGACACTCTCCTGGTCATTGTGGATAGCCACTACCAACCCAGAGGACAACTTTTCTGCTCGTTCTATTACGTAAGTCTGAGAAATGAAAAGTGATAGCAAACTCAAGGGATGACTCTTCTCATCTCAGTTATTCACATGAAATCCATGATGTCATGTAATGATTCTTAGATGTACATTAGAATCACAATGGGGATCGTAAATATACATACATATATGTGTGTGTGTGTGTGTGTATGTATATATATGTGTGTGTATAAATTATATAATATATAATATGGTATATAATATATAGTATATAATATATAATATATATAATTTGAACAAGAAACACTGATGCGTAGGCCTTACCTCTGACCTTTGTTCAGGGATAGGCCCTGGGTATCAGCACTTTGAAGCATTCTGGGCTATTCTAACGTGTAGTCAGAGGCAAGAGCTCCAGTTATAGTAAAATAAACACTGGCTGCAGATGGAGCCCCTGAGTTTCTTGTCCCAGTTTTTTGTTTCCTTTTCAGGGTATGTGAGCCTGGGCAGTTCACTTTATCTCTCAGGACCCTTGTTTCCCTGTCTATAAAATGAGGTGATTGAGCAATATTATCAGTAGTGATTGGAGCCCTAGCTTCGTCCCTTATTAATTCTGTTACCGTTGACCTGACACTTAACCCATCATCTTATTTTTCTTATCTGTAAAATGAAGTAAAAACTAATGCTTTGCCAACTTTACAAAAAAAAAAGTGAGGATGAAATTATATAATTTATGGGAAAATATTTTGAAAAATTTGAAATACTTTATAAACACAAAGTCATATTGTTGATCCTAAGCACCTTCTCTTTCTTCATGCTTATATCCCAAGATCTGAAGCAAAGTGAAAACACACTTTTTTTGTTTGGGTTCCTTTTTCCCTTTATTGGCGGTAGTGAGCGCGTTATTTCTGTATCTGCGTGGAATTGTTTTGGTTCTGCCTTATCGCTATCCAGTGTTTAGGGAATTACAGTGATCATGGGGCAATCAGCTGAGCGGCAGAGGATTAGAGTTGATTTGAATAAAAATATAGCACGCGTCCTGATCAGTTGCTAAGATCACAAATGTAGCCTGAAACTCCGCTGCCTGAGGTCTCCTCTCTGTGCCTCTGCCCTGCCCTGGGGAGGACCTGGTATGTATTCTTCGGGGGCTCAGGGCCTAGAAGTAAAATTTTAACTATACTTGAGGACAAAGCAGGGATAATGCAGGATTACATTGGAAGGTAGATTTTGCTCACAGCAGTACTTGCTTTACGATGATTTGTTTTCTGTCAGATGTGTTCTTGTTTCTTAATGATGGATGAATATTTTCTTAGCTTATGCTGAGGTCTTCGCACTAGCTCCACGGTTCAGATGTTCAGCAGGACACATAGCATGTAGATTTCTAATCCTGCTGCGTAGTTCTCACAAACCAATAGCAATAGTCTCCTTACTCGCTAGGTCAGGGTTGCCTCTGACCTTTGTGATTTTGGCATTGTTATACTTTTTCAAAGCCCTGTTTCAAAAGTCACTTTTTTTTTATTTCCAGTGATCTAGGGGCTGGGTCATTTTGAGTAGTATTATCGTTACAATAGTGCTGTATCAACTAAAAGAACATCTTAGCACATGCTTGATTTTTATCCTTAAAGTGCTAAAGCTTAGAGAGCGAATGCGTAAAGAATTAAAAACATTTTTTCATGTGCTTGGATGACAAGAGACAACACGGCCTTTAGGATGTGTGTGGAAATTTGAAGTGCATAATAGGGAGGAGTGGTCAGCGGACTTCCCACTCGAGACATGTTGATAAGTGTGCGTGATGTCTGGTGGAGCCCTCCAGCGTGAGGTCCTGAGAGAAGCTGTTCCTATTCAGCTGCCCCGTCATGGTGTTGGGGCTGTTACTCATTTCTTTCCCTGTGATTGCATATAGGGAGGCACATATAGAGCTCTCCATTTCATTTTCAATAGCTGGTTATTGCTTTGTAACCAGAGGCTTTTCGGATTTCAACTTCCTTTTTAATTAAAAGGAATTAGCCCCCTGCAGGAAATAATCCATCTACTGGGAAGGGTTCCCACCAAAGATTTTGGGAGATCTGCCAATAGATCCCTGAGCTAAATTTACACTTGTCCCTCCATGCTAAACTTGAACTGGCCCCTCCCCCACCCCTTTCTGGCTCTCCGGGAAGACTCTGGCTTTCTGGACATTTATAACGTGGCTGGGTGGTTTCTCCAAGCTTAGATAGCTTCACTTTGGGTTTTTCACGATATATACATGTGGGCTTTCAAACTGAAATTGTTGCAGGCTTTCTAGTGAGGGAATTCACACCCTTTAAAAGGAGGCACTTAGAATTTGTTTTTTTCACACTTAAAAGGATGTTATTAGTTAGCAGACTGCTTAGCAGCCAGTTGTTTCAGTGGGAGTGAAAATGTGACCTGTACACAAACGCAGCAACCGATGTTTTGAATTACTTGTTTGCTTGGCAGGAGTGGATCCGAGAGAAGCCCGAATTGTTGCAGAGGGCTTTTGTGATAGGTGTGTTTCCTTCATGTTTTAAACAAAAGGCCAACCCCCTGTTTTCTTTCTTTGGCATGTCCTAGAAATCCTATTCCGGGGAAAACACAGCCAGTGCCATCGCCCGCTCCGCGGCCGCCTCGGCTTTGTCCCTGCTCGTGCCAGTTTTCATTATCTCTTGCAAAGAGAAGGTGGAGGAAATCCTGACCATGCTGACTGCCAGGTTACCTGGGAAACCAAGCGCTGATGAGTCTCAAGCCGTGCAAATCCACATGGGCCTCGCTTTGGGGATGTTTCTCTCGCGCTTGTGTGAGGAGAAACTCAGGTACAGTGGGTTAACACAGCCCTGCGTTTCCTCTTTGTGGTGCCGGTGGAGGATTGCACACACACGCACACGCACACGCACACGGGTGTTTGATCTGAGCAGTACTCGCTTGCTGAACTTTCTGAGACGGGCACCTCGATCATGAGTTCTGCTTTATGAGTGAATTTGTCTTTCTAAATTCCATCACATAGATGTTAACGTGTTTTAAGGGTTGCTCTTATTAAAGTAATTGGTTCCTGGAACGTCATTTCATGCTTAGTCGAAAGCCCTGAAAACCCCTGTGTAATAGAGATGAGGAAAAGTCTAATCTACGGTGCTCTAAAGAAAAGCTGCCTTTTTCCTGGTTTGTAGCTGAAAATGATTGCTGATCCTTTATTGATATCACTATCACACGGAGGGAGAGGATTGGGGTGTCCCCTGTGCCTGAGGATGTGGGAATCCTTGAATCGCCTGAGAACTGCATGTACCCAGTGTTAACTGTTGCTTTTATCCTGTGCCCTGGCTACAGTTGTATAATCCTTAAAGAGCCTTAATCTGTGCATATTATACTGTGTAGTTTATTCCGTTTGATTGCTCGGTTTTTGGCCTGCTAGCTTTACCCGTGAATGGAGCTAATAGACTATCAAAGACCCAGGTGGAAAATTCCACTAAATGGGAAAATCTTCCTGTATGTGGATCTAGTTTTTTTGTCCATTTTATAGCCAATCTTAGACTTTTATGTATATGTCCATATAGATTTAGTGCAGTGTGGTACAGCATGAATATTTAGATGTCACTGACTTGGAATGTAGCCCCATTGCCCAGCAGTGGAGGAGCAGGAGAGGCACCCTGTGTGGTGTGAGCTATTGTTCAACTTTCCTCTCTGTCCAAAGGCAAGAACTGGTGTTGATGTGGAGACATTAGAGGACATGATGCTATATTTAGATTTCAGTTTTAAACCAGTGGTTAAGTTTCCATTTGTAATTTACAGAGTTTTGTGCAAATACCAATAAAGGAAACCTTTATGAAAATTGCCATTGATCTGGGGAAATACCATATTTCAGATAATCATGTTCAGCTCTTGGAAACATCTGTCAGACGATTAGGAAGAGTTGGCTTAGTCTCTGTGATCATAAACGAAACGTTTCCAGAATACTCATTTTGTTCTCTTCACCCGTGTTAATCTGTGTAGGCCTGGTTCTGGACATGAACAAAAAGCTGCCCTTTGCATGTGGTTGCCTGTTAACATATTGTGTGTGTGTGTGACAGAACACAAAGTATTTTTAAAGAGTTAAAACTTGAAAGTGAGTTTTCCCTCCTTTGCTACTATGCGACAAATGGCAGCTCTTTCACCATCTGCGTTCCTGCTCTTTCTTCAGTATCTTTTCAAGCAACACGCTTTACAACTAAAAATGAGCCATGGCAGCTTCATTCCAGGCGACTCATTTCATCCTCCCCTGGCCCCGGCTCCCTTTCTCATTAGATTTCGATGAGCCGCTGCCGGTTTTAGGGCTTGCGTTCGTGGTTCATTTAATCACACTGCCTGGAGAGACCCACGGTGATTCAGCTAAAGCATCACTCTGGTGCCCAGGCTGCCTCCCGCCCTGTCTGCTCTTACCTGACTTTGCACCTGCAGGAACCCCTGAGGCAGGACCTCAGGAGGCTCTTCCCATGGCCCAGTGCCCTCCGAGTAGCTGCAGATCTTAATGTGGCTTTAATGACCCTGTTTGATAGCATCCTCCTGTTAGCTGGTGTCTTAGTCAGCCAGCTCATGGCTCCCACCTTCCTTATTTCTTGGAGCAGAGGAATCTGAAATATATGCCTTCGGTACTAAAACATATTTTGCTAGAGAGTGACAGTGTCATCAGATAATGATATTTTTGGAGAAAGTTTCCATTTTTCTGTAATGAAGGCAAATGTTTTGAGGGCTATTGACTGACCAGTCAAGGACATCAGAGAAGTGACCCAGAACAGCCCCTCAGGACGAGGTGCTGATTCCGAGAATGAAAAATCACCTTGTAAAAGAGAATGGTGGCAGTCAACCCATTTTTTTGGTCAAGCTTACGGACAAGTCACCTGAATTTACATTCTGGCCTAGAATTCATTCAGGAAAGCATATTATTTCAAAGCTCGCTTCCATCATGACTCCCAGAGGATAAAGCACTTCAGCATTTGTTTAGCATATTTAAGTATATTTTACTCCAGAGAACAACTATAATAGAACTTACTTAGTTAAAGCTATTAAAAGTGTGTGTGTGCGTGTGTTTTCATTGCAAAATCTAATCCTTCACCTCAAGCAAAACCGCTGGCTGCAGTCCTGGTTTGAGGACGTGGGAAGGGCTCTCTGCGCCGGGTTCCCAGCTGCGTTCCCCAGGCAGGCGGAGCGGAGGCAGCAGCACCAGACCTGACATGTGGGACCCTGATAATCAAGTGTCGATGATAAAGCCCACGGCTCTGCCTGAAAACACTACCTTTTATGTTTATTTTACTATACAAGCCAATGACAAAATCACATCAATTACCGCAGACAGGAAAACAGAAAGCTGGTGTCGCCCCCCCACTCCCCCACCCCCACCTTTTAAGAAAGTGTAACTGAAGGAGTAGAACTTAAAACCTCCACAATCGAGACATGAAATCAAATGTAAGTCTTTGCATGAAAGAGATTGGGAACCATTATTGATAATAGGAGCTTAATGGGTTTTTTTAAAATATTCTGACAACCACCCCTTTAGCACTTAGAAATATCTTTTTTTTGGAATTCTGACTTTGGTTTTTATTTTTTAGTGATTTAAATTTGAATGGACAAAATTTATGACAACATGATGACCTAGGGAATATTATACTCTAAGTGAAATAAAGACAAATGCCATGTGATTTCAAGTCTATCTGGGATCTAAAGAAAATGAACAAACAAATAAAGCAGAAAAGGACTCATGGAAGCAGAGAACAAACTGATGGTTACTAGAGTGGGGGGGGGATGGATGAAAATGGTGAAGGGACAAAATTCCAGCTATAAATAAATGTATTTATACAGGACAGAGAGTACAGTCAATAATATGGTGATAAATGTGTATGGTGATAGGTGGTTACTAGACTTATTGTAGGGATCACATATTAAGGTGTATAAATGTAGAATCACTATGGTGTTCATCTGAAACTAATATAATATTCTATGGCAACTATACTTCAATTATAAAAAAAGTTTTCATGAGCAGAGAAAATGCAAAAGTAAGTGTTTATTGGCTTGCAAATAATTGTCATGTTCAGAAACCCAATGACTGAATAAGTTCTGACTCAGTTTCTCTGTCTACAAAATAAATATATATGAGTCGTCAATAGTATTGATTGTTACGTTTATGTTTTTTAAAGTAGATGCATTTTCAGTAGAATATTGAGAGCAAAATATTGTAGAGTAAGTATTTGGGACAGTTGAGTGACTTTAAATAACTCCTTTCCCCGTGGCCTTTCCCTAGTGACGTTTCCGGTCACCAGATGAACCTTCTGCTGATGAAGTCCTTGGATGCCCTGGAGAACTGCTGCTTTGACCCCCGCCTTGAACACAAGTATGTCGATCCCATGTCCTCTCTAGCAGGTGCTTAGAGATTGGTTTTTTCTCTGCCATAAACTTTGAATTCTATGGTGAGATATTTCCAGGACCCGATCTTGAATTCCTTTGAAAAAAATTCTTAGTAATCACCAAAGGTCTGTACTCAAAGCATACCTGTTCTGAAAGCAGTGTTTCGGCAATAGTTCGCCTCAGTACAAAGCAGCACGTGTCGTTCTGTGGCTGTCGTTCAGTTGCTAATACCTTAGCTCTGGCTTGTACATCTCCCATCAAGCATATATTTGGAGGCTTGTGTGCATGAGTTAATCTTTTTAAAGAAACTTTTTTAATTTGGACTAAAAGAATCTGAGACCCATGGTTTAGATTCCCCTGTGAAATCCAATAGCTGAGGAACAAAAATGGAAACAAATACAGGTTACACCAGGGTTCCCCACCTCCTCAATGTTTATAGATCCATTTTTGCCCCACAGACCTCATGATTTTTGTCCGTTAAACTCATATTTTAAAATGTAATTCGTTTTCTCATTGCCATTATGAAAGATAACAAAATGAAAAGGAATAATCAGAAAAGAATGTCTCGAAAACCAGCGTTAAACATACTCATTTAGTGAGACACTTAGAGTTTCCATTAGCCTCATGACCTGGGGCGGGGGGAGGTGGGGGAATATGATTTCCTTAGGCTCACTGGAGTATTGACATGTTGAGGACTACATTGTACCTTTTTGTGCTTAAGCATGTCTTACTTAGAACCTCAGGTTTAGATCCTCTGGGGTTTATTATTACTTGGAAACTCAACAGATTATAAGCACTAACCCCCAACTTACGAATTCATTTATTCTTTGCTATTATGGGCATTTAAATCAGGGTTTGCATTTCTGGCCTTTAGGAACTTATGATCTGAAATTACATTTATACCATCCAGCCTGTTTGTTCCAAGTAACAAAAGAGTAAATGGTAGAAGCAGCTTCACGTATCAAGTATTCATCATGAGTAAACAAAATCAGATGTCCACGCAGTAGGTGGTCATGACAGGCCTTCTTTCAGACACAGGCTAAGGTTGGTAAGAACCATTGAGACCCACCCAGTTTAATGGATGGTACAGAGCCATGGAAAGTTGAGAGTTTTGAGCCTAAGCTGTGTATTAGTGGTGTTGCCTTTTATAACCAAGGAGTAAGCTGGGTTCTCTCTCTCCCTCTTTCTCTCTCTTTCTCTATCTCTCTCCCTCCTCCCTCCCTCCTTCTTTCTGCCTTCTCCCTAAAGGTGTTCATCATAGCTGGGGGGAAATTTTATGATTAAGATGCTCCAAACTTTCAGCCAGTTGAAACTACCGAGAATGACTTTCAAGTATTATATTCATTACTTTCCAGAAAGGTTGTTTGACAGTAAGGAGGACCATGGGGAGAGCGGAATTATCCACAGTATGGGTCTTTACACGTGTAAGAACTAAATATGTCTCAGCATATTTAACTCTAAAATGAACTTTTTATCTTAATAAGATTCTTATTTCTTTACTCTTACTTCTTTCTTGATTCTTACCTTCTTAACTATTTTTTTTAATTTGATTGAGCAACTGCATTTGGGAGCGGAAGGATGGGCCTAGATAGGGGCTGAACCTGCCGAGTCGGGTAGAACAGGGTCCTCAGAAATTTCCTGTTCATTTAGGAAGATCTGGCTTGTCTTCAGGGCCCCAATTAGAAACTCAGGCCCTTTCAGGGAACCCTCTCTTTATCCTCTCAAAACTCCCGTCATTCCTCTCGTTAATGAAGTTTAGTATTTTGTCATGTCTAATGCTTTGTGGGTGGCAGTGCTTAGTATGTTGTTCCCTCTCGGGTTTGAGGTTTAATTAATACTTACTGAGTAGCCACAAATTGTTGGAGGCATTTTCACATCCCTTTCCCATGGAATTCAGCCTTGATTACACCCTAAATGTTGACACCAAAGTAGGAGTCAGTTTCATTTTGGTTTACTGATGAAGAAAGTGAGTCTCAAAGAGGAGCCTGGTTCAAGGTCACACAGTGAGTGGCAGTGCTTGGAGAGAAACCCTAGGTTGTCTGACTTCAAAGTCATTTTCCGCTCTTGGATAGTACAACATTGAGAACATTTCAATCGAGAGAAATCTGGAATATTACTCACAACAAAAAAGAATGAAATCTTGCCATTTGCAACAACATGGATGGACCTAGAAGCATTATGCCAAGTGAAATACATCAGACAGAGAAATATGTGTATGATTTCACTTATATGTGGAATCTAAAAAACAAAACAAATGAATAAACAAAACAGAAACAGACCCATCGACGTACAGAGCTAGCTGATGGTTGCCAAAGGGGAAGGGGAAGAGGATGGGAAATAAAATAAATATTTTTTAAAATCAGAAAAAAAAGAAAGTAGGTTGACCCTTAATGTTCAGTGTTTATTCTTTTTCTCGGACATGCGGGTCTTGCTTGCCATTAAAAAAAAAAAATGTCTAGTCTCAGGCCTGAATGCCTGGCTCCTGGCATAAAGTATCCCTGTCTAATGAGATTGCAGAAGTCTAGGGCAGTCCTCCCTCCAGTGAAATGGTGGGAGCGTTACCAGGAGGTAGTTAATGGATCCGGGAGCGTGCTACCTCAAGTGATAGAATTCACCCAGAGCAAATTCACCACACTTCCTGGATTTAATGGACATGTCCCTGCTGGGAGAACCAAGCACCTGGGCTGGTCTGTGTTTGTGGTCCCATCGCTTACATTTTGCTGCCATCTAGTGGTAATCATGGTGCCATTGCAGTCCTCACAGGCCTGGTCATGCTATCCACCTAAGCGTTGGGTAATTACTATTGAGCTTTCACCAATACAGTATTTGTATAGCACTTTGTAAAGGGCAAAGTGCTATACGAATGTTAACTGTTATTAGAACTAATTATTAAACGGCCCAGTACTTAATCTGCAGGACAGCCTATGGCAAACTGAGGAATTGAAGATTCATCTCTGGGTAATTTTAGAAAATACACAGCCTTGTATCTCAGTTGATGTGGCAACACACATATGAGAATTGCATAGCTTTTAAGTCACAAAATTTCTTTTTGGTAGTGATATTTTAATATACTTGGATAAGACCTTCAAATAAGTAATGTCATAATAGGGCCTATAATTTTAAAACTCAAACTCTCTTTATCATTTGTTAGTATTCTTTTCTTATTTTAACCCTCACCCAAGGATGTGTTTTCATTGGTTTTGAGAGAGAGCGGAAGGGAGATAAATATCAATGTGAGAGAGAAACATTGATTGGTTGCCACCCATACATGCCATGACCAGGATTGAACCTGCAGCCTATGTATGAGCCCTGACCGGAAATCAAACCACAACCTTTTGGTGTCGGGGACAACTCTCCAACCAGCCAAGCACCTGGCCGGGCTGTTAGTATTCTCATACAAGACTCATGTTGGCAATTCCAAAACCTCAATTTTATACCTAATACGAGTATAGCTTGTTTTTATTTCATCTGTCTGATTTGGGGGTGTTTTGTTATTTGTTAATCCTCACCTGAGGATATTTTCTTCCAGAAAGTGGAAGAGAAGGAGGGAGGGGGAGAGAGGGAGAGAGAAAAACACTGCTGTGAGAGCTACACATCGAGTAAGTGCCCCCGACCAGGAATTGAATCCAAGACCCTTCAGTCAGGCCAACACTCTAACCACTGAGCAACACCGGCCAGGGCATCTGTCTGAGACACCAACACTTAACTCCTTTCTGTTTTCAATGAACAGAAAGATGTGAAAGCTACCTCTGCCCGTTGTTCTTGGTTTAGAGCTGTCAGACTTCTCAAAGGGAAGCTAGGGGGAGATCAAGTGTAGAAATGCTGAACTAAGCACTTGGTGAATCTTAATTCACCGAGGACAAAAAAATAAACACATTAAAATATAGAAGATTTGGAAATCAGAAGGAAACATCAGGAATAAAGGTTTAGAACTACCTCCTGGTGCATGCTGGAAAAATGAGAAGAAGCAGAAGGAAGCAATTTAGCAGGTCAGTGGGTGCCCACACTCTAACATATTTACATTGGCACATGTATACATAGGTGGGTTATGTATTCCTGTGTTACAACAGTTAAATAATTACCACTGGAGCAATGAATAGAATCGTTCATGAGTGGTAACCTTGCCTAAGACTAATTATGCTGTGATAACATTTAGGTAAATGTGAACTGAAAGCGGGGTCTCTCTTTTCTGAGCCTTTGTGCCCATGTGCCTGGGGATGGTAAAGGAGGAGCCTCCGTCCAGGGGAGAAGGATTTTTCTTCGCCCAAAATAGCCCCAAAAGCAAGATTTGGGTAACCACCTATTTATTGAAAAGGATGAACCCCAGTACTCAAGTGAGCTTTGGGATGAACCCTTTTTCCACATGAACCTGATGCCCCTTTTTCTTAAATTGGTCTGGCAGGAAATAGAAATCAAATTTTCTTGCTTGAATCTTGGATGGTATACTCCGTGAATTTTACAACTCATAAATTTTGCCTCCAACTAAACAAAGGAACCAAGTCTTGGTTTCCTTTTGTTGTTCTTTTCCTTTTGGTAGCTCTTCTCCACTTCAGACGCCCTTGAAACCCTGCACTTGCTCACTTCCTAGTGTTCAGTGGGTCTGAGTTGGATGCCTGTCCCCACCCAGCAGTGTACTCGGTGCACAGACATGGTGGTGAGGGAAAAACAGAAAAAGCGCCCACCCGCATGGCATGGAGCGTGCAGGCTGGCGAATGAGGTGGATGGTAATTAAACAGTCCCCCAAATAATCCTCATTCTGATGAGGATTTATAATTAAAATTGTCTGAAGTAAATTAGTACAGGGTGCGATGGGAGAATAGGAAAGAGGTTCCCTGCTGGGCCAGCGAAGGTGTCCCTGAGGAAGTCACATTTGAAATCTTAAGCAGAAGTAGCAATTACATAGCCAAAGAGGGAACAAAAGTCAGAATTTCCGAAGTGTTAATCACATTGTGTCTAGCTACATCTTTGGGATAATCCTATCCAAATTGTATATGCATCGTATAGAAAGATAGCCAGGCCCAGCCGGCGGGGCTCTAGTGGCTGAGCGTCGACCTATGAACCAGAAGGTCACGGTTCGATCCCCAGTCAGGGCACAGTCGCTGGTTGCGGGCTCGATACACAGTGTGGGGCGTGCAGGAAGCAGCTGATCAGTGATTCTCATCGTTGGTGTTTCTATCTCTCTCTCCTCCTTTCCTTTCTGAAATCAATAAAAATATTTTTTTTAAAAGAGATAGCCAGAAAAACTGCCCTTAGATTCTAACTGAGAAGAGAGACGTGAATCCGTACTAATGGGAGCAGCCCCTCCTTCAGAAGCCTGCTCTGTCCCGACAGCAGGCGGCTCGGGCTCCATGCCGAGGTGGCGGGTTGGAAGTGCTTCATGCTGTTAACTTCATGTTAGCATGTTCGCCACACCGGCATCTCCACCTGGCTCATGATGGGTGACCCTGCAGTCGCTTCTTCACAAAGGACTTTCTAACGCCGGGCTGTTAGGCAGTGGAACCTAGAAACACCCACTTGAGCCATGTTGCCTTCATGGCATCGTGCAGGGCACCAAGAGGGGCTGGGGTTTGGCGGATGGACCAGAAGGCTGGGAATTAAAAAACACAACAACAAACGCACCGTCTGGCCACGCTCTGCTGGAAACACCCTGCGTGACCTTGAGCAGACCCTGTAGCATCCCCGGCCTGTGGGCGTCTCTCTCCCATGTGGATGCTCCGCTCGCACAGAGGTGCTGGGGGCAATAACTAGCACGTTCATGAAACGACATGAAGGTCCTTGAGGCCAGCCAAGGAGAGAGACGCCAGGTATGAGCCAAATGACACAGGACACAGGCGCGGAAATGGGTGGTTGGAGAAGGGCCCTGGAGCCTGCCTCCCCAGCAGCCGCCCTGGGGAGAAGCGAGCCAGACCCGAGCCAGGGCAGTTGCTGGAAAACTCAGCCTCCCCTCAATTTGAAAAACAGCCACAAAGACAAAACCTTTTCTTACAAAGTAAGAAATGACCTCACAGCTGCATTCTCTTATACTAGCGAGACGTTCTGGGAAAAGGATTCGTTTCTTTAAATGGGTGTGTATTCTTTCAGGAGGACTCGGGCACAAAAAGCCCAGGGTCCCGATTGAATTGTCACTGGGGGTAACTTTTGACAAGCCTGTCATCTGTCCCTTTTCTCCCCTGACCCGGTGGTACTCCGAGAGATCAGAGGGGAGGAGAGGATTAAGGTCATTGTGCGCAGGCGAATACAGTTCCTCCGAGAAAGAAATTCCACTTGCTGAAGTTGACTAGGAAACACGAAGCAGGACCTGGGAACCAGGCCTGGCACTAATTCGTCCTGCTGTTAGTGAGACCTCCTCGGCTCAAATCCTTAAATGTCATCTTTTCTCTCCTTATGCGGTTCATCGCAGTGCACGCAACGTGGGGGTGAGATGGGGGTACCATAGCTCTTCTCAGTGCAGCGATAGGGCTGGCTTGACTGCTGTTTATGCCTCCTCCTCCCCTCGTCATGGAATGTTAAGTCCAGCTGTTTCGTGATTTTACTTGTCTGTTTTTCTCCAGTGGGTACACAGCACTAGCATGGGCCACGAACACCTGTTTTGTGGTAAAGGTTGCCCTTTTTTAAAAATTTTGTTTTATTGCTTAAAATATTACAAAGAGTAGTACATGTCTCCTTTCCCCGCCCCCCTTGACCTTCCTCCGGCCTCCCCTACCCCCCGTGTCTTGTGTCCATTGGTTATGATTATATGCATGCATACAAGTCCTTTGGTTGATCTCTTACCCCCACCCCAACCCTCCCCGGTCTTCCTGCTGTAATTTGACAGTCTGTTCGATGCTGCTCTGCCTCTGTATCTATTTTTGTTCATCAGTTTATAATGGTCTTTATTATCCATAAATGAGTGAGATCATGTGGTATTTTTCTTTCATTGACTGGCTTATTTCACTTAGCATAATGCTCTCCAGTTCCACCCATGCTGTCGCAAATGGTAAGAATTCCTTCTTTTTTACAGCAGCATAGTATTCCATCGTGTAGATGTACCACAGTTTTTTAATCCATTCATCTACTGATGGGCACTTAGGCTGTTTCCAGATCTTTGCTCTGGTAAATTGTGCTGCTATGAACATAGGGGTGCACATATCTTTTCTGATTGGTGTTTCTGGTTTCTTGGGATATATTCCTAGAAGCGGGATCACAGGGTCAAATGGAAGTTCCATTTTTAACTTTTTGAGGAAACTCCATACTGTCTTCCATAGTGGCTGCACCAGTCTGCATTCCCACCAGGAGTGCACGTGCACGAGGGTTCCTTTTTCTCCGCATCCTCTCCAGCACTTGTCGTTTGTTGATTCGTTGATGATAGCCATTCTGACAGGTGTGAGATGGTACCTCACTGTTTTGTAAAGGCTGCCTTTTGAGGAGGGAGAGTGTGTACTTGTGGTGTTTTGTGGGACAGGCTTACAGAGCAGGCAGCAGAATTCGAATCCAGCCCTCTCACCCCAGCCTGTGGAGCACTGGAAACTCCTGTGAAAGGTGAAGCGCGGACTTCTGTGATTTTTAACGCCTCGTCTTTTTGGCCTCCAAGCACGGGCTGTATCCTGGGAGTTGGACTGGTTCTGTCCCTCATGAGCCACAGCAGCCAAACGGAGTCGCGCGTCCACGTGGCCGCGTCGCTGCGGAAGCTGTCCGCGTACCTCGATGACAGCGGGAGCCAGAGCAGGACCTTCCAGGAGGTAGGAGGCGAGGTCCCGGTTTCCTTCCCTTCCCCGGCTTTTGCTTCATGTTGCTGCTTATTTTCTGCTTCTCACATTTTGGTGACCCTGGAATTAAATTCTTCCTCACCCTCAAGTGGGATAAGGAGAAAATCCGAGTGGCAAGCCACCTATAATAGATCATAAGGGTTTCAAATTGTGCAGCTGTTTAAATCAACTTGGACTTAAATGTGGCAAGTAAGATAAGCGCCTGGAGTGAATACAGACTCCCGAGTCAGCAGCACGAGCAGGCACTTTCTAAGAAGCGCTGCGGTTTCTGGAGGGGGGTTAAATGGAGAGAGGTAGAATTAGGCCCAAGCCCATGTCACTTAAAAAAAAAAAATGGCCAGGAAATAGCTTAAGAAACTGCAGATCGAAAAGGCGTTTGCTTTTTTAAATGTCAGCCAGCATGAGAATCACTGAAGAGATTCCCTTCACCACATTAAATGAAGAGCTTTTTCTGTTGTGGTGCAGAGACATGCAGACTTGCAGTTCATGTGACGCGGCCTGGGAGTGTCGGCCACGGGTGTGGGAGTCTGTCCTGCGCAGGTGAGGCCGGGCCCTGTGCTCCTCACTGGAAGGAGCCGGAGAGGACCTCTTGGCCTGGCCAGACTCTCCCTCCCGTTGGAGCACGAGCTATTGAGGAGCATAAAGGCCGCTGTGTCCCTGCGCGGCCCCTCCTCTCAGGCGTGGGGCTGGTTGAGTAGGTGAATTTCTGACGGCACAGAGGGCTGAAGTTTTGTTCTAAGACAGCGGTTCTCAACCTGTGGGTCGCGACCCCTTTGGCGATCGAACGACCCTTTCACAGGGGTCGCCTAAGACCATCCTGCATATCAGATATTTACATGACGATCCATAACACTAGCAACATTACAGTTATGAAGTAGCAACGAAAATAATTTTATGGTTGGGTCACAACATGAGGAACTCTATTTAAAGGGCCAGAAGGTTGAGAACCACTGTTCTAAGACATGCCCCACATTGCCACTTTCAAAGCAGAGCATGATTCAGAAGGACATTTTTTTTTTAAGCAAAAGGAGAAAAGAAAATTTTGCCGCCAAGGAGGACTTTGGCTAACAAATGAAAGCAAGGTTTTCCTAATTGAGGCATTTGACCGCTTGATGTTTTGATGTGTGAGGCCTTGGACACACGTTTTGTTTTTTTTCTCCCCTCTCATGTTTTATTATCCAATTTCTACCTTAGAAACCACTTGTTCTTTTCCGGCCGAATAGACCAGTGTTGGGAGATACACATTTCCACTTTGGCTTGAGTATCTTTGTAAGAGAGGGTTTCATCATGAAAATGCAAGATAACAGGGAGGGGTGATTAACTACGATTTGCAAAAATTGAGGCTCAAATGGGTTGTTTGACTTGCCCGGCGTTACTTAGCCAATAAATGATCAATTTGGAATATACACCTGAGTATTCCGTCTCTACTCCAAGCATTTTTATTTGTAATCTGTTCATGTATTCATTTACTTGTTATGTTATCCTACAGTGCTAGGAAGTAGGGAGTATTATCTCTATTTTACACAATTTATCTGACTCTAAAGCCCTCAGTCGTGGTCCATTCCGCTCCACTGCTGCTACTGGGGGATCTTAATGTAGCCACGTCTCTATCCCTCCGCTGCTTGGCCTTGGAGCAGACCTGTGGCAATTAGTAACGTCCACTGTGATGAAAACCGGCTTCTACCACATATAGATGCTGTGTCCTGAATTGGTGAGGGAGCCTTTGGTTTTGAATCTCGCTCCTGTCACTTGCTAGCTCTGTGTAGTTGAGCCTCAACGTCCTTATCTATGGAGTAGGAATAATGACGCCCACCTCATAACATTGTTAGGAAATACAAGTGAGGCAGCGAAGCAATGCCCATCTGTGGGAGGCGTACTTAAATCCATTCCTTACTGGGGAGAAGTTTGACCGAATATTTGTGTCAATTAAACCTGTTCTTTTCTTTTCCCTCGTGAAGAAACATTGTCCTGCTGTCTTTTCTCCCAGGTCCTGGCCTACACCCTCAGCTGCGTGTGCACAGCGGCGTTCAGTGCCGGCATCATCGAGGCTGCGGAGGCCGAGGACACGATGAACAAGCTCCGCCAGTTGGTAGAGAGCAACCAGCAGGTGGGAAGGCGCCCTGGTTCCTCCCTCTGTGGGTCTCAGGCTGCTGCTCGGCCCTGATCTTGACTTACTCTGATTAGAGGACAGTGGGATGTTTTTAATGCCCAGAACTGAGGAGCTTAACTATTCTCCTGTCTCACAGCTACAGCCAACAATCACAGGGGCCTTTTTCTCTCATTCCTTACGTCCTCCGGTAGACTTTTTTTTTTAATTGGTTGGAGAAAGTACATAGCCTTTTCAAATTGAATACATATACGGCTCTGCTGAGGTCAAACCTTAGCAAATACAAGGGCAAAGAATATAGACTAAATAGGTATAGGAAAAATTAAATGCATGTAAATTAAATTAAATACCCTTAAATGTTCCCTCTAAAATATTATTCAGCCTTAAAAAGAAAGGAAATCCTATGCTACAACAGGGATGAATCTTGAGGACATCATGCTAAGTGAAATAGGCAACCACAAAAAGACACATACTGTATGATTCTATTTATATGAGGCACCTAGAGTCATCACATTCATAGAGATAGAAGATAGAATGGTGGTCGCCAGGGGGAGGGAGGGAGGAGGAGTTCTTGTTTAATGGGTATAGAGTTTCAGTTTTGCAAAATAAAAAGAGTTCTGGAGATGGATTATACAATAGTGTGAGGGCACTTAATACCACTGAATTGCATAGTTAAAAATGATTAAGATGGTAAATTTTATGTTATATGTATTTTACCACAACTTTAAAAATTGAAGGGGAAAAAAGCTCTGTCTGATTACACATGCTTTAGAATCTTCTCATTGCTGGTGGTAGTGGGGGGTTTGGTTTTTTTAAAGGTTTCTCTCAAGTCTCAATATTGGCCATAGTGGGTTATTTCAGGATTCACTGGTTTTAAATGTATATTGTTTGGTATTGTTACTACTTTATGATTATTTGCCTGCTCATGTTCAGTGGGGTTTGCAACATCAAAATGTAGAAGTTTACATACGCAGTGCTCATTATGAGACATTTTCTCTTCTTGTTTGGGAGTTGACAGCTTGCGCGATCTACTTGGGTATTTTCGCTTGAACCCCTTCTGAAATGTGGATCATTTGAGCCACGTTGCTCAAAAGTGCGGTGTTATTTCCCTCAAATAAACCACTCACTGCAGCTGACTCCCTTGCAATTAGACTGTAGCTTCTGTTGCAAAGCAAAGTCTAGATTTTTAAAATCTGCCACTCCCTGATTTTCAGATGCCTAAAGAACTTGTCAGGGTGAGGGGGGCGGGCGGGGAGCCCCAGGAAGTGCTTGTGCTGCGATATGTAAACATTCTTCCCTTTCCTTACCCCTTGTTTCTGTTTGTTTGTAACAGACTTCAGGTTTTGCCTTGGCATTAGGCAACATAGTCCATGGTTTGTCTGTGTGTGGACATGGAAAAGCCGAAGACTTGGGCAGCAAGCTGCTCCCTGCCTGGATCAGGATTGTCCTAGCAGAGGTAGAGGTCGCGACCTGCATGGTATTTTAGTTTTGTATAAAGGAAAAGGGCTACTTAATTGGACCATTTGTAGATAACTGCTCAGGTATATAGCTTAACAATAAAAGAATGGGTGATTTCAAATGAAAGGGAAACGTGTGCTTTTCAACCCTTATACATGATACATCCTGTCAACTATGATAGTTTTTTTAAAACTGGTTATTTGGCCAATGTTTTCATTTTAAACAACATTGTGGTTTTTAAAAAATAAAAAAAACAACAAGAAGCCACTTAGGATCTAACAACTTCAGCCTGTAGCTTTATTCAAGTCTGAGGCCATTTTTGGTTCAGTGATACAGGTTATGTTGACCCTACCCATTTAGTACCATTTTGACCATTAATTTCTCTATGATATAATAAGTTTTCTAGAATTCAAACCCAAGGACTGTTTCCCTCATGACATATTCTTTGTTTTCAGGGCTCTCCCACAATGCTTTGTTTGGCAGCTCTCCATGGCATGGTGGCCTTGGTAGGCTCGGAAGGGGATGTAATGCAGGTAAAAAGAAAGAAAGAAATCTGAATGTGTACCTAGCCACAGCAAGAGCAGAATACCTAGCATCTCAGTATGCTGAGGACAGAAGAATATATGCTCACCGTAATGGTTACACTGGGCTTTGCAGTGACTTTAATGTATGGAAAATTGTTCTTTTAAAAAAAAGGTTTTTTATTGATTTGGGGCGGGGGGAGAGAGAGAGAGAGAGAGAGAGAGAGAGAGAGAGAGAGAGAGAGAGAGAGAAAGGGAAAGGGAGAGAGAGGGAAAGGGAGAGAGAGAGAAAAACATCAATTGGCTCCCCCCTGGACCCCCCTACTGGGGATCAAGCTCAAAACCTGGGCATGTGCCCCAACTGGGAATTGAACTGGTGACCTCTTGGTGCTTGGGAGGCCACTCAACTAACTTAGCGGCCAGGGCAAAAAATTGTTCTTTGCTGAGAATTCTTTGTATAGAGATTTTTTCCCCTTATTTTATTTGATTTGTAGGAATTAAACCTAGTCAACTTAATGTACTTGCTACAAAGTTCCATGCCTGAGAAAAGTTAATGAATCATAAGAAATTACAGAAATCATTCATAAGAAACTCCATTGTATATGTGTAATGTTTAAGTTAGTATCTAAGTACGTTTTTGTTTTTTGTTTTTTTCACTCTAAAATGTTTTCCAGCCCTGCCGGCGTGGCTCAGTGGTTGAGCATTGACCAGAAGGTCACAGTTCCGTTCCCAGTCAGGGCACATGCCCTGGTTGTGGGCTCGATCCCTGGTGTGGGGCATGCAGGAGGCAGCTGCTCAATGATTCTCTCATCATTGATGTTTCTATCCCTCTCCCTCTCCCTTCCTCTCTGAAATTAATAAAAATATTTCTTAAAAAATGATAAAATGTTTTCCATAGTGGACACAGAGATGTGTAAGTTTGTAAGTAATTCTAAGGACCTCCTTTGTTTATACAGTTCAGGAGTAGTAGGTGGCTGCTGCGTGCCACGCTGAACGGGTGCTAGGAAATCAGTGATAAATAAAGCCTGGGCCCTGCTCTCCAGGAGCTCCCTGTGGAGTCCGACTTTGAAAGACAAGGACATGGTGATAAATGACTGCGTAGTGGAGAAGATGGTAGCTCATCACTGGGAATGTCATACTTTTTCGGGGATGTTGGAGTGAATATTTTTTTTCTTTCAGCTGAAGTCAGAAGCCATCCAGACCTCTCAGTTTCAAGCCAGACTCAATGAAGTCATTAGAGCCTTAACACAGGTGAGAGGAGGAAGTTAAAGCCCTTCAGTGGGAACACAGATGTCCCTCTTTTTGTCTTTTTTCTCTTTCATGATACAAACTGTTTTACTTGGAAAATGAGGAAATCTGTTTACTGATGGTGAGTTTCAGGGCATTTGAAAATGGTTTGTGGCCCTGCATTTGCTGACATACATGCACTCTTCTGGAAAAAAAAGAAAGCTGGCATTTTGAGTTACGTTGGCATTAGTTTCCCGTAAAAATCAAAACCTGACCCTGCGAGGAGAAGGGGACGGTGATCAGAGGGCAGGCAGATGTCTGAGTAGCAAGTCGAGGCACCCGTTCCCATGTCACTGAGACAAGGATGTGGGTAAGTCACTGTCAGCGTGAGCCTTGGCTGAAGAATGAGCATAGTTATGTGCTGAGAAATGATATATAACTCAGTATTTTTATTTTTTAATGATCATTGCATAAAAGTTGGAGGTACAGAGAGCATGGAAGAAGCTGAACAAATACCACAGCTGGTCCTCCCAGCCTGAAGGACTGCCCCTAGTGTCTGTCACATTGCTTTTCAGGCATCTCATTTGTCTACTCGGTATTCTTACTGCACATAGACCTTTGTGTCCTAGTCTTGTCACTTAGCGTAATTTTCATCTTGTAAAATGTTGGTGGTTATAACACCTGAAGAACTTCTAGTAATTCAAGTTTCAAAAGCAAACATCAATTTCTGAAGAGAAGAAACTGTCTTTTTCCTGTATGAATATGAATATTCTAAAAAAAAATACTTAAACTTAAGTTGCTTTAACTTGGGAGAAGAATCTATAATTTAAACTATTTTAAAAATGCTTATTATGAGTGATCAAGCATTAATTGAAAATTATTTAAAGAAGAGAACAAAATAATATCTCCTTCCATTGTTAGAGGTATTTTAAACAAATTATCACCTCTTTTTACCTTTTGGATTTTCTTTTTCCAGTTTTTGATAATATTTTGAGACCTATCTGACTCGGGGATACCTGAGACAAGCACTACTGTACTCTTCTATCATCAGTTGATTCACTCGTTCATTCATTCGCTCATTCATTCATTCAGCAACACTTGTTGATCACCGACTAAATCATCCCAGACTTAGTAGACTAGACAGGTGATATTACACCTTGTCATAGAGCTTCTCGTTACCAGACAGGCACCACCTCATAAAAGATCAGTGACTTTCTGTGAGTGGCCTTTTATTGAGTTGAGTTTGGATCATTTCCCATCACTGAACTGTCACATTTTCATCCATAGGTCATCAGTGTGTCCGGGGTGATTGGTCTTCAGTCCAATGCAATCTGGCTTCTAGGACATCTTCATCTGTCTACTCTGTCCTCAAATCAAAGCAGAACCTCCGGTAAGAGTAGAGCCATAGGACACTGGAGCTGGAAGGAGGGTGCTGACTCGGGCTATGAACTATTAAGAGCATTAGTCTCCACAACAACCCTCAGGGATGGGGATAGGAATTACCACCCCAATTTGACATCAGGAAATGGGCTGTGGAAAGGCTGCCTGACCTACCCAGGGTCACAAGGCAGTTAGTGGCGGACACCAGTTTGAACTCAGACCTGTCGGCCTCCAAAGCCCATGCTCTTTTCACTCTTCTTTTCTGCCTCCCTGAGAGAACAGGTCAGACATTGAGTCTAACCTCGTATTTTACAGATGAAGAACCTGAGGCTCGGAAACATTATGTAACTTATGTACAGAGCTGGTTCAGTGACAAATCCAGAAAAAAAAGAACCAGGTCTCTGAAGCTTGGAACAAAGTTCTTTTTTTTTTTTTACCAGATGTAATAATCATAGTTTGTATACTACTCATATTCATTAAAAGTCTCCTCCTCGTACAGCCAGCATGGCTCAGTGGTTGAGTATTGACTTATGAACCAGGAGGTCACAGTTCAATTCCCGGTCAAGGCACATGGCCGGGTTTAGGCTCCATCCCCAGTAGGGGGCATGCAGGAGGCAGCCAATCAGTGATTCTCTCTCATCATTGCCAATCAGTGATTTTCTCTCTCTCTCTCTCTCTCTCTCTCTCTCTCTCTCTCTCTCTCTCTCTCTCTCTCTTCATCCCTGAAATCAATAAAAATATTTTTAAATTAAAAAAAATAAAAGTTTCTTCACATATGGCTAGAGTTCTTCTAGCCCCTGCTTTTGAGAAAATAATGGGATAAGTGCATTTAAACTTGTGCATCTCATTGACTGGAACTGAAATTCTAGGTCTTAGTATAACAAGGCTTTTTCTATTTCCAGCTTTTTGATAACAAGCAATAAGGAATATTTGCAATTCCCACATGCTTAATTTATGCTCGTACTTGAAGATTTTCTGGGAGGCATCACTATAAAGTACTGGGATCTGAATCTGCTCCTCGCTCTTGATAGAATTTTGACCCACTGGCTCTCTTGGACCCAGGCCAGAGGGGTTTAGGTACCAAAGATTCCTCATTAAAACCTAGTTCCACATATCCCCTGACAGGTAGTGTGTGGACACACTACCGTGAACACAGGCCCCTGTAATTACTGTCTCCCTCACTTTCAATCACCCCTGAGCTACCGAAATAGGACATTATTCCGCAGCATTCCCAACATAATGAACTTTAGACAGCTGGCAGCTGTCATATTAAAATGGAGAAAAGAAAGAAAACTCAGTCATCGGAGGAAACCCTTGGTAATGCTGGTTTTGAAGGGCAGTGCTCTCACAGGGTCCTGGTACAAGAGCATGTTTGCTTTTTTACATAGGCTTTTTTTGTTAAGAATAGTTTATTGATTTTTAGAGAGAGAAGAAGGGAGAGAAACATCGATGTGAGAACACAACATGGATTGGCTGTCTCCTGCACAACCCCCACCTCCTGCACATCCCCACCAGGGATCAAGCCCACAACCTGGGCATGTGCCTTGACAGGGAATTGAACCAGCAATCCCTTGGTGCATGGGTTGATGCCCAACCAACTGAGCCACCCCAGCCAGGTCTACATGGGATTTTAAACGTTATGGGCTATGTGGTCTGGCCCACATAAACTCAGGTCAGGTCATAGTGAATCATTCTACACCCAGGTTCTTTGGCACAAAATGATTGTATGTCTGGAAAAGTACAGCTACTTGTTTCTGAAGGAATTTTCTGGGAGGAAAAGAATCCTGGAAACTCCCAGGACTCAGCGAGCATAAATGTCACTGCTTCGCTGTTCCAGGTCAGCAGCACCTGGTAATTTGTCCATGTTGGTCCCTTAGTCCCTGCCTCATGAAGGAAGAGATGGGTTGCTGTTGATACTGATTGTTATATCTCATGGCTCCTATATCCGATTCGGGATGTCCTGAAGTGGCTCCCAGAATGGTGGTCTCAGCCTGCAAGCCGGGCAGACACCTTCCTGACACTAAGGAGGTCACAGGCTTGGGGCTCGTTGATGAGACAATGTGGCAAGGATTTTTTTTTTAACCACTTCAGTAAAATATTCATCCTCTGTGGTTTCCAAACTCTACTAGGTTTACTACCATTTTAGATAGCTGGCCTCGCCTAAGTGATGACTTCAAGGCTGGCCACTTTAATAGAATTAGGTGCAGCCACAGAGAATTGTGCTGAGATTAATGGTGTAAACATCGCCGGTTTGTCTCTGGGTTGATTTGGCAGCATTATCTTTCCTTCATTAGCCCCGCCAAGTTCATTGGTTAATTTGATCATTTTTCTGTCTCCACAGTTCCTACTGACTATAGCTATTTGCCTGAAAGCAGTTTTATTAGAGCAGCCATTGGCTTCTTCGTCACGGGAGGAAAAAAAGGCAAGTAAACACATTTCTCAAGTTTTATCCTTCCTTCTGCATATTAAGTAAGGAGTGTGCCCTGAGCATGCTTCCGTCTAAGTAAACAGCACAAGTCTGAAGGGGCGATGATTATCTTCCTCTAGAGCAGTGGTTCTCAACCTTCCTAATGCCGCGACCCTTTAATACAGTTCCTCATGTTGTGGTGACCCCCAACCATAAAATTATTTTCGTTGCTACTTCATAACTGTAATTTTGCTGTTATGAATCGTAATGTAAATATCTGATATGCAGGATGTATTTTCATTGTTACAAATTGAACATAATTAAAGCATAGTGATTAATCACAAAAACAATATGTAATTATATATGTGTTTTCCGATGGTCTTAGGCAACCCCTGTGAAAGGGTCGTTCGACCCCCAAAGGGGTCACGACCCACAGGTTGAGAACCGCTGCTCTAGAGCACCTTTGCAATAGTGAGGACGGGGATGCCAACTACAGTAAGTGGCACAGAAAGCACACACGGTGCAGAGTCTCCCGGAATCACCATATCTGACCTGGTGGGGTGAGAGGGAGGGGTGCTCTGTGAAGACCTTTCTTCATCTTCCATCCGGTGATTTCAAAGGAACAAGCACACATTACTTTCCTGTCAGTTTCAAGTGAGTGTCACCTAGAGAGAGGAAACAGGCCTGGGTGCCGTCTGTGTTTCAGGACCTGAGTGGGAAGTGGGTCTTCCCCTGAACCTTGTATGCTCACCCTGTGTTGTTGGAATCACTGGCTCTAGCTTTTATTTTTAGCTCATGTTCTTTTTCTCTGCAAACATTTGTCCTTTGGGATTCTTTCTTCCTGTCACCCACATTAGAGCACGGGCAATCTGAACACGGAGATTGAGTGCCTTTTGTATTAACTGGAGCCAAAAGAATGCCATCTAACTTATTAAATAAATACTCCTTAATGCCATCTAAGTTATTAAATAAATACTCTTTAATGATACCCATACTGTTCAGTGCTGTGGGGAGAAAATGGATTCGAACTGAACACGTCACAGCTCAGGAACTAGTTTCATTCATGTAGTAACCCTCCACTGGTGTTTGCTGGTTCCATTCTTCCTTGGGCAGGGTAGGTCAGTCTGGGCGAAGCCGGTGCCTGTATCACAGAGCCATCTCGATTTTAGGGGGAAAAGGTTTTAAACAAATGAACATGAAGAAATCTGAAGGAAGCGAGTTTGATTCATGAAGATGTGGAAGAATAAAATCTTAACCATTGAAAGAGATGGTAAAGGTCACGTCATCTGATTTCCCACGGGGTCCAGAAACCCCTGGCGCTTCCAGATGAGAAACTCCCTTCAGAGCTTGAGGATGAATTCCTTTAGTTTCTGCAGTTGTAGAAATTGTGCTGTTCTCCTAGGGTCCTGAGTTAGCGTGATTTGCTTTCACGGGTCCTCAGTGGAAACTGATACATGGTTATGTCATTGTTGTACATGATACAGTTCTATCTAAACATGTCATATATTACTCATAATGCGAAGTTCATTGTTTAAAGCACCATCCATCAAGTCTATATGAAGTACATATGCTAAGAAAGATGTCTTCAGAAGTAAAAAATTATATTTTTACAAACAGAGCATCTAAAATTTCCATGGCTAGGATAATTCCAGAGATATATATTTTTGCTCAATTTTTTGTTTGGTCGCTCCCTGATAGCTTATAAAATTTTTAAATGGTGATAATGTGAGATAATTTCCATGAGAGAAAAAAAAAATCCTTAAGGTCAAATGAAAGATAGACTCTTTCCCAGTGAATAAAATGTCATTTGGCTTCCCAGAGCCATAGTTCTTGGCAGAAATGAATTTTCTCCGAAGCCTGTGGGACCTTCTTAGTTGAACGTAATGTTTATGATGATGCAGTCGTGGCACAACAGGGAGCGTTCGCTCCAAACCTGAGAAGCCAGGGGGCTGCCCTCGGCGACGTCATTGCGGCCTTCCTGAACGCTGTTTTGAAACAGATAAATGAAGTATGAAAAAAGGCCCTGTTACCAGTCAGATTGTTGGCGCTTTTCAGGTTGTGGGAGAGGGCTGCCTTCCTGTCAGGTTTGCTGACTAGATTCAGAGGAAAATCTATTCAGCCTCACACATTACTAATGATGACCCCGAGGAGTGGGGGCCGTGGGAGGCTGACCTCAGTCTCCGAAGCCCATTTACAAAAACAAAACCAGGCCCTGCTCTCGGGGACTGAAGGGGTGGCCCAGTGTGGAGGTGTGCATGCAAACGACTGTTTCTTCTTCAATATGCCCAGCTCATTTGAATTTTAATAACTCCCTTCTGAAGCAGCTTTTGAGTTGCAATGTCTGGATGTCATCCCCCAGAGCCCAGTGGAGCTGCTGATGGGAAGGATGACAACTTTGGTGAGCTCTTTTGAGGAAGAAATGGCTCTCGTGGATAAAAATCATGCTTGGTACAGGCAGAAGACGGCCAACTGTAGGGAGAGCGTGGCTCCTTTGCCTCTGTGTGCCATTTGCTAGCTCACATGAGGAAGACCAATGGGATAAGTTAACCCTGTGCCACACATGCCAGGAGATTGGGCATCATGATCTCAATTTTAGGCCATCAAATTTGAGAGGGCGAATCTATTCATCTGCTTTCTGATGCTTAGGGCTCTTCTCACTACAAGATGTTCATAGAATCCTATCTGTTCATAGTAGGCCTACATTTTAAAACCATAACAAATAGATTAAATCCTTTCTAGTTATTAAAGACTTCAGTTAATAATTTTCAATATAACTTTTTTGGCTATATCCGGTAGCATTCTCTTTTCTTCCCTAATAGCTCTGGCCTTCTTCTAGCAAATGTATTATTCCTTGTTCTTTGTCCTTATTTATTCCTATGGACTTTCCTTGACTATGCTAGGCTTAAAATTTGTTTTTAATTTTTAAGTCTTCCTATCATGGAATTATTTTTTCCCCTTAAGGAACTTTAAATTTTGACTCTATTTTGCTTCTTTTCAATTCATTTATTCTTTTTTCCTACTTCTGATATTTTGTAGTTTTTTTCAACCTCATTGCATTTTCAGATTTCAAGATTTCATTTACTTTTTTTATAAAACATTTTAAATGTATTAAATGTTCTTAATAAAAGTAATTATTTCTGGTGCTAACATTATGTATTTGTACCTAACGATTTAAGATTATTTTTCTTATCATTCTGTTGCTGGGGAATGTGACTAATTTTTTAAGCTTATATTTTTCTATTTGACTTTGAAGTTCACAGTAAGAAGTATTATTTGAGGAAAGTATATTTAAATCCTTATAATAAAGTCATTGTGAATGGCATTTCTTCCTTGATATGAATTCATTGATCAGTGATATCTGTATATATAAGTATTGGGCTTATGTATAAACTATAGATAGCTATATTCTCAATCATTTTTGAACTATTAACATGAGCTATAATTGTTGACAAGTCTAGCCAAAGGAGCAAAATTAGTGAACTCTGAGTGTAGAATAAACGATATGAAAAAGCTGTGCTATTTTTCTGATGAAATTAGTCAGTTGCCAAGACTGTTATTTTAAAGTATTTTAATTTAGTAATAATTGACCTATACAATTCTTTTTAAAAGAGAATTAGAAATGGATACATGTGTATAGCACTAAGTTTAAAAATGGTATAAAGAAGAAAAAATTATCCCCTACAATCTCACCTCCTAGAGGAGGCCACAGTAGACATTTCAGTGTATGTCCTTCTAGATCAGTGGTTCTCAACTTTCTGGCCCTTTAAATACAGTTCCTCATGTTGTGACCCAACCATAAAATTATTTTTGTTGCTACTTCATAACTGTAATGTTGCTACTATTATGAATCGTAATGTAAATATCTGATATGCAGGATGGTCTTAGGCAACCCCTGTGAAAGGGTCGTTTGACCGCCAAAGGGGTCGCAACCCACAGGTTAAGAACCTCTTTTCTAGATGGTGGTGTGTTATATTGAATCATAAAATTTATAGTATTTTGTCTGCTTTTGACAAATTTAACAACTTCCCACAAACATGGACATAATCACCACTGATCTCCTCCAAAGGGAGGCTTGGAGGGAAGCAGAAAAAGAATCCTTGCATTACTTTCTAGATATTTGTTCATGGGTATGTTTTGGGAATATTTAATTTCTAATTTTGTTGTAAACACCATAAGTATATATAAAATCAAGAAAGTCACCAATTATTCCATGTCCCTTGAACAGTGACTATCGCTTTTGAGCTTTACTTTTTAATTTGTTGTTTTTATGTACACACAATTTTTACATGTTTTCAAGTATACATATACTTTATATTTTTACCTTAATATTACATTATAAACATTTACCTATTTTCCATATGTCTCCATAATTATCCATTTTTAAATGACTGTAGACTATTCCATCAAGTTAATCAAAATGAACAGTTTCCCTATAAGTCATTAAAATTTTTCTATTATACAGAACTTCTTTTTTTATTTTATTCAAAAATAATTCAGGACTTTCTTTTTTGTTTGTTTGGGGTTTTTTCCTTTTTATTGAATTTACTAGAGGCCCGATGCACGAAATTCATGCAAGAGTAGGCCCTCACAGCCCCGGCTGCCTCAGCACTCACGGCCCGGCTGCCTCGCAGTCCCGTGGCCAGCCCACTGGTCGTTCTGGAAGGTCATTCCGCTGTCCCGTCTAATTAGCATATTAGCTCTTTATTATACAGGATTATATGGGATTGGGGTAAGACTGGTTAACAAAATTATACAGGTTTCAGGTGCACAATTCTACAACACATCACCTGTACACTGCATTGTGTGTTTACCACCCCAAGTCAAGGCGAACATCTTTAATATTTTCTAATTTATTTTAGAGTGATAGAGAAAAACATCTATTTGTTGTTCCACATATTTATGCATTCACTGATTGATTCTTGCATGTGCCCTGTCCAGGGATCGAACCCGCAAGCTTGGTGCATCGGGATGATGCTCCAACCAACTGAGCTACCCAGCCAGGGCCAAGCCAAGGGGAACATCTTTATACATGTAGTTTTCTCTCTTCTGCATGTAGCCTTCCTTAGGAGAAATTCTCAGCAATTTATTAGTAGGCAAGAGTCTGAGGACTTGTTGACTATAGGGATGACATGGCCTCATACATTGCTCTTCAAAAGGGTTGTACCAGGTTTCAGTACCTCAGCCCTGTCTGAAGATGCAAAGCAGGGAATCGTAGCGGTTAAAAGCATGGCAGTCAAACTGCAGGGTTCATACCCACTTCTACCGCTTGTTGGCTATGTAACTCCAGGCAAGCGGCTTAAGTCTCTAAAGCAGTGGTTCTCAACCTTCCTAATGCCGAGACCCTTTAATACAGTTCCTCATGTTGTGGCGACCCCCAACCATAAAATTATTTTCGTTGCTACTTCATAACTAATTTTGCTACTGTTATGAATCGTAACGTAAATATCTGATATGCAGGATGTATTTTCATTGTTACAAATTGAACATAATTAAAGCATAGTGATTAATCACAAAAACAATATGTAATTATATATGTGTTTTCCGATGGTCTTAGGCGACCCCTGTGAAAGGGTTGTTTGACCCCCAAAGGGGTCTCGACCCACAGGTTGAGAACCACTGCTCTAAAGCCTCAGTTGCTCCTGGAAATGGAGAAAATAATGGAGTCTTGTTTATAGAGTCATTGTAAGGATTACAAGTTTATAAATTGCTTTATGTAACAGTGCTTAGAAAACAAAGTAAATAATAAACCCTTTCGAGTTATCATACTACAGAGCAAACCAACATATAAACAAGTGACTACAGTAAAAACCAGTCAGGTATTAAATGATACCTTAAGACTTTAATTTGCATTTCATTGCCAGAAGGAATAAGCACTGTTGCATGTACTTACTTGAGAGGTTGTTTATTTTTTTATTTAAATTTTAGAGAGTTTTTTAGTGTACCTTTTTCTTTTACTTGTGAAATAATTTCAAACTTACAAAACAGTGAAAATAGCCAGGTAACTCCTATATTTTTTTCACCCAATATTCAGGTTTCACTGACAGTCAGAATGGTGTCCTTAGCATAAAAAGAATTTAATCCTGAATGTCACACTGTGCTTATTTATCATCTCTTGTCTCCTTTAGCCTGGAGTAGTCCCTCAAGCCTTCTTTGTCTTTCATGCCTTTGACATGTTTTAAAATTAGAAGTGAGATATTTCCTAGAACATTCTTCTGTTTGGGTTTGCCTGTTGTTCCTCACGAGAGAGTCGGGTCCATCATCTTTGGCAGGAAAACCAGGGGCCTGAAGCTCTGCTCTTCTCCCCGCATCCAGTCGGGTGGCACATGGTGTCTGTCTCCCTCTGGGGATGTTAACTTTGATCACGTAGGTGATATCTTCCAGGTTTCTCCACTGTAACATTTCCCTTTTCCCTTATCAATCAGTATTTTGTGTGGAGATAATTTGAGACTTTATGAATATCCCATTAGTTATCCTTCTTTCACCCATTAGTTTTAATATTATTAATGTTTTCTTGCCTGAATTAATTAGTTCTATAGTATTTGCCAAAAGGTGATTCTTAAAATTCTGTTATCCCTTTTACTTTTAGTAGGCATTATGCTGTAAGGGAATGCTATTCGTTCCTTTCTCCCTCTTTGTTTCCTTCCTTCCTTCTTTCTTTCTTAGTATAAACTACTAAATTCCTTCTTTTTCTTTATTGATTAAGGTATTACATATGTGTCCTTATCGCCCCATTGCCCCCCCCCCACTCATGCCCTCACCCCCCTGGTGTCTGTGTCCATTGGGTAGGCTTACATGCATGCATACAACTCCTTTGGTTGATCGCTCCCCCTTAGCCCCGCCCTCCCCTGCCTTCCGTCTGAGGTTTAAGGGTCTGATCCATGCTTCTCTATCTCTGGATCTGTTTTTGTTCATCAGTTTATGTTGTTCATTATATTCCAGAAATGAGTGAGATCATGTGATATTTATCTTTCTCTGACTGGTTTATTTCACTTAGCATAATGCTCTCGA